CCAGCTCTGAGATGCTGTGAAGTCATGACAAACTTACCTTACTTCCAGAGTGCATTAAGGGGTGAGGGGATTCTTTTTTTCTCCTTCCCCACCCCCCACATTGGCAATGGAATCTTGTAGTCGAAGCAGGTACCTATAGAAGACGCCTCATCCATCAGAGAGCTGAGCTGGAAAAGGAGCAGGCCTAGAGAGTCCGGTGTAAAGAGTTCCTGAATAGATGCTGCACCCAGAGAAAGAAGCACGAGGAGACCAAGAGAAGAGAAAAAACATCCATCAGTGCCAGAGGGGTGAGTTCCTTCAACCTGAGTTTCCTCCATGCATGTGTCTCTCTACTAATATACTCTATGTGTGTGCCCACTCCCCCTACAAATCCTACATGTATTTATGGGCAAGTGCACCCCAGGTTCATAGGAGGATGCTTTGTTACTTGTTCATGTTATTCCATTTCAGTAAATGCCTTTGCTTTGAACTAACTTTGTCAGCTGGCTGAATAATAGAGCCCTCACCCACCCAGAAGTAAAGGTTTCTCTTTAGGAGAGTATACCTCATGGTCCCTGAATCTGACTGACCCAGTCTGCCAGTGTGAGTTGAGATGCTAGATCAGAAGAGGTGCATAAGGATCATTCTTCTTGATAGAAAAGACACAAAAAAATTGGACTTGAATAGTTCTGCTTTCTCTTTGTCATCTTTCTATTTTCTCATTCATCTCAAGCCTTTCCCTCCTACTCCTTACTTATTCTGCTTCTTGCCCTCAATGTAACTTTAAAAGCACTTTTTTGTGTACTTGGCAGTTAGAAGCATTTAGATGGTCTCATTCTGGACTTTAGCCTTCTTGGCATTGCTCTAGTAAGGTATTATTTTTTATTATTCTAATAAAGTGTATTTTTTTTTGCATTAACTCAGTCACCTGTCCATTGCCACTTTGAATCTCTCATTGTTTTGCAAAGACAAAAAGGACATATATAAACATATATGGAAGAAATGTAAAGAGAAGAAATGCCAAGTAGTTAAGTACATGGTAATTGTGGGGGTGGCACTAGCACTTAAAGGAATCAGAAAAGGCTTCACTATAGAAGGTTCTTGAGCTTCATCTTGTTGGAACTGAGGGAATTCTATTAGATAGAGGTGAGGAAAGAATGCATGCCAGATTTGGGAAGCAGCTAATGCAAAGGCATGGAGACAAGATATGGAGTGTCATGTATGAGGAATGAAGAAAGCCTTTTTGGCTGGATCACAGAGTGCAGGAGAGGCAGTAATGGTCAATGAGTCTGGAAGGATAGGTTAAGGCATCCTACATACCACTGAAGAGTGTATGTTTTATCCTAGAGGCAGTAGGCAACCACTGGAATTTATTGAGTAGGAAGGTGATGTGGTAAGATCTCCTAAAGTAGGAGACTTCAAGCAGAGAGATCAATTAGAAGGCTGTTCCAGTCATTTAGGCAAAAGGTAATGAGGACATGAAGATGGGTGACTGGAGAGAAGGGGTCTGATTGAGAGATGTGCAATGTAGTATTAAGATTAGGGAACTGATTAGATATTGGAGGTGAGGAAGGAGAGTGAGGAGTTGAGAACAACACCAAGGTTACAAACTTAGGGACTGGAAGAATGGTGAGCCCTGGACAGAAATAGGGAAGTTTGGAAGAGGGGTTGAGGAAAAGATAATGAGTACTGTTTTGGACACAATTGAGTTTGAGATGTCTCCAGGATATCCAGTTTGTAATGTCCAATAGGCATCTGGTAATGTGGTACTGAAGTTCAGGTACTGAGTGATCTGAGGGCTCCTGGCATAATGATGATGATTAAACCAACCCATGGGAACTAATTAAGTCACCAAGATAGTGAAAAGAGAAAATAAGGGGTCCATGACAGAACCTTGGGAAACACATATCCAGAGGGTATGATCTGGAATGATGAACCAACAAAGGAAACCAAAGAGTGGTTAGACAGGTAGGAGAACCTATAGACTTTAATGCCATGAAAGCCAGATAAAAGAGAAGTTCTTCAATATCAAATGCAGCAGATTGGTTGAGAAGGATGAGGACTGAGGGGAGTGGGAGGGAAAGACCATTAGATTTGGGAATTAAGAGAGATCACTGATAACTTTGGAAAGAGCACTTTCTTTCAAGCAGTGAGGTCAAAAGTTAGATTATAAAGAGTTGAGTAAGAAGAGAAGGTTGTGAATGTAGACAGCTTTTTCTAGGGGTTCAATGCCTGGTACATAAGTAAGCATTTAGAAAATGTTTGCTGACTGAGTTTGACTGAGAAAAGGAGAGCTATGAGTAGATAGCCTGTGGCTCAAAGAAACTAAATTACTTTCTTATCAGCACTAGATATTGGGACTTGAACCCTACCTAGCACAGTCTCTGTACTGTGACTGCCATTGTTCACCTCTCAACCAAACTTGCACAAAATAGAAGCTAGAGGAACGTGGGGGGGGGCAGGAAGGGGGGATCTGAAAGGTGTGGCAGAGTTGGAAGCAACAAAGGACTCAAGATGAAAAATGCTGTCACCTCCAGAGAGAGAACTGATGAACTCTGAGTATAGATTGAAGCAGAAAGTGCCAACTGGCATTGGTAGGAATTTCCTCACCTGGGAGTTTCCTCTACCAATGAAACCACAATCTATTCTTGATCTCTATAGAAAATGCCATATATATGCCTACTCATTGAGATCATTCGGAGGGTATAAATGGTATTTAGGTTAGAAAATATTCATGTGACAACTGACAAATATAGTCAAGAACCCTGGCTCTTTGGCCTATACAATCTAGGATACTGACTACATCTTTAGGCTTTCATCTAAGTCAACTTCAACAAATCAATTTCGCCAGCTCAAGACAGGAGCAATATGGCTTTTCCTTTGAAAAACATCTAAGATTTCAATGGACAGAAAGCACAGTATGAGTTAACAATTCAATATGGCAACTCTCAAAAAGCTAACATGATCTTAGGGAGCATAAAGAAGGGCATTTGTTGTTTAATTGTACCTGAACATTTATGACCTGATTTGGGGTTTCTTTGGCAAAAATACTGGGGTGATTTGCGTTTCCTTCTCTAGCTCATTTTTACAGATAAGGAAACTGAGGCAAACAGGGTTAAGAGACTTGCCCAGGGTCACACAGCTAGTCTGAGGTTGAATTTGAACTTAGTTCCTCTTGACTCCATGGCCAGCAATCTACCTGTTGTGACACCTAGCTGCTCCAAGAGGAGCACAGCATCAAGAACTAGGGAAGAAATATTCCCACTGTATTCTTCCCTATTTGAGCCACATCTGAAATTTTGTGTTTAGTACAGGGACCACATTTTAAGAAAGACATTGACAAGATAAAACTGTCCAGAAGAGGACAACCAGGCTTTTGAGGAGATTGCAAGATCACAGATTTTAAGCTGAAAGGGACCATGGAAATGATCTAGTCCAATCTCCTCTTTTTTATAGTAAATGAAAAGACTGAGGCCTAGAGAAACTAAATGACTGGTCCAAGTTCACTTGGTAGTAAATGGCAGAACCAGGATTCAAATGCATGCCCTCTGATACCAAATCCAGGACCTTTTGTATTTCACCATACCAGGAATGAAAGTCACATTGTCTGAGAACTCATTAAAAGAACCAGAGGTGCTTATACTGGAAGAAAGAAGGCAAGTGTTTGAAAGGCTATTATGTGGGGGAAAAAATTGGTCACTGTCAACAAGTATTTCTTAATCTATGTGAAAGGTCCTTTGTTAAGTGGTAAATATACAAAGAAAGGCAAAAAGAGTTCCTGAACTCAAGAAATCTACTTTCTAAGGTGACAGACAATATATAAATAAATAGGTACATACAGGATTCAAATAGCATAAATGGAGGCTTGTAGACTTGTTCTGCCTGGTCCTGCACTACAGTCCTAGGAGCAAAAGATGTAATTTGCAGAGGGACAGTGTAGACTGGACTGCCCTATCAGATAGAATCTTGACCCTCATTATTGGTGTAGCAAAAAAGTTACAAAGACCAAGAATTTGCATATGCAGGAATTACGAAATAAGGCTTTAACTCAGCAAATATTTTGCATAATCTATATATATGTTGTTGTATGGCATTATCTATATTATGCTGTACTAACTGTTGAGTGAAGTACCGAGAAGTACAGTATAGACACTTGATCTCTACCAAATTTGTGATCTAAGAGAGTCAGATACACAAATATGTCTATTTTGATGACAAAATATCATAAAGGAAAATAACAGGAAAAAAAAAACAATAAAGGTCAGAATTCGACCCCAGCCTTTTCTCTCTGAATCCAGAGTTCTCTCCACTGCAATAGGCTGCCTCTGGACCTCAGCAACATTAAAACACACCCACAACACACACATACACATTTCTTTAGCACTTAAGAAAGTGCTCACCAATGCATTATACACAGCATATAAACTTATAGAAATGAGGTTGGGACAATAGGACCCCAGTAGAAAGCCCCTGGCACAAATAAAAAAGATGGGGAGCAAGGGTAGGGAAGAGGTACACATATGAATGTTACATGTACTTTCAGATGAGGCCTCTATTATTAGCTTTACTTAACTGCTTTATTTTATTATAGGAAACCTCACACAAAGTGAGAGTAATCTGTGTCCCTAACGTTAAAAAAGAACACATACATGCACACATCTAATAAAACTTTTTTTGTTTTTTCAAACGACAGAGACAGACGGACAGACAGAGACAGACAGTGAGAGAAGAGAGAGAAACACGCTTATTGACCTTCTCGGACAGTGTAGTTATAGTTTCACTGAACTGTCCGTAGCTGGGAGGGTTGTAAAGGATCTGCAATCTCAGCGCCTCCCCTTCCCCGGCTGGCTGCAACTCTGAGAGACTCTCAGAGCGTCATCCATCAGCCCTCAGAAGTGCCCTCTCTACCTTGGGGCACAGAGGGAGGGAACTCGAGTTTGCCTCTAGGTTCAATAGGCAGGCCTCTCTTGGCACGCGTTCATGGGTCAGTCCTCAGCTCCAAGAGGCAAGCTTAGGTATAGGGAGTCACTCCGGTGAACGCATCCCATCTCCCTGTCCGAAGCTGCCCTGGCCACTCCCTACCCTATCCCTCCCGCCCATTTAACTGGCGGAAGCTTCTTAAACCCTTGACTCACCCTCTCCTTCATCAGCTGCTCGCTTCCCGGGGCTACGGAGACAGAACAGCTTGGCTGTCTACTTCTCTAGCTGTGGCGATTCTCCGCCCCCCCACCCCACCCCCCACTCCAAGGTAAGCGCAAGGAGTCTCCCCTAGAGTGGGTTAGGGACTGGACCGGCCCCTACAACTAACTGCATCTCTGTCTCTTCCCTCCTCCTGGGCTTCTGCTTCACTTGTCTCCTAGGGGGCTGGAATTCTTTCTTCCCCACTTCGGATGCGGCTTCCGAGGCCCAAGATTCGGGCCTCCTCAGGATGCCTGAGCACCTCTGGACTTAAAAACGCACGTCTAGGGCGCATCTGACAATCCCCGCTCTCCGGTGTTAACTGTTTCTCTCTCTGCTCTTGACTTTTGATTCCAAACTGCGCCGGCGGCTGAAACATCTCCCGGTTGAAAGAAGGAAGCAATGCCTTGTTGTTTTAACTTAAACTTATTTTCCATTTTGAGATTTGTCTGTGGCCTTTATCAGGCTGCTTGAACCTGCTGTGCACACTCGAGAAGACAAAATCCCCTCAATGTCGCACCGCACTCCTGGGAGACGTTTCTATTCTGTGGACTGCTGCCTGCCTTTTTCATGCATCCAGACTCTTCTCGCTCTCCCGTGACTCTTGCAGACTTGATGCCCCTTGTGTTTAAACCTCTAGTAGCTAGAAGTGATGCCTACTTAGTTACAACTCTCTGGGATACTTAATGGCCACAGCAGTTTTTCCAGAGTTTAGAAATTATGGTTGTGCAGTGGGAAGTTCTGGTTGGGGATAACTACAATTTTGGAGGCATAATCTGCAACATGACTTCCCAGCCAGAGGATTCAGTTGTTTTTCCTTCCCTTGGAAGGCAGGTCAGGTGATTAGATAGATGTGGATATCTAAGGTATGTCAAAACTCAAAACTACTTATCCATAAGTAAGGAAGTCAGAGGTCTTTCCCACCCTCCTTTGCAGAGGAGAAGACCTGGCTCACAAGTGCTTGGTATTTATTATTTATGAAGAGGAATGGAAGAGTGAGTAGTGCTTTCAGAAATGAGGCTGAAAGCAAAAATTCTATGGTATTTATTTTCCAAAGGATGTTGGGGGGTTTTTTTAATAAAAAAAACAACCTCAGTTGTCTAAGCCAGCTTTCTGCCTGCAATTTTCACTGTACATTCTTAATTTCCTAGCCAAAGCTGTCTTGTGGTGTTAAGGAGAAATCTCAGGCTTTCACATCCAATGGGGTTATTCTTCCATGAGAGATAAGATAATTTTTTTATGCTAGCAAATTTTTAAACTATATAAATTATTGTATATGCCTTTTTGTTTGTCTTCATATTCTAGCTCTTTATATTTTAAAAGATTTTTCATGACTATCACAGTGCTTTTGTGATGGCAGTATTCCCTCAAGTGATAAATTCATCTTGTATGTAAAATTATGTATTAGAGTAGTTAGTGTTATAGGACTTAGCTTATGTATCTTCATGCCCAGTTTTTAAAGCACTCTGCTTTTGTTGCACTAGTGAAATGTATTTAAGATGTTACAGAGGGGAAAAAAAAACCCAGCTGCTACAGTGATTTTGCTGGTTCATGCCTTTGTTAAAATGACTAAGGCAATTAAAATATAGGAATTAACTTTAACTTTTATCAGAGAGGTAGCATGGCACAAGAGGTATGAGGCAGCCTCAGTCCCAGAATGAAGAAGGCTTGGATTCAAGTTTGTTCTTATGAAGCATACTGCCTCTATGACCCTGGACAAATCACTTCTCAGTACCATGAGACTCTAAGAATATGTTGCAAATTTGCATTGGCAGGAGTTTCTTCATTAGGAATTACCTTGTAAACCTGAATGACCGGTAGCTTGGTGATGCCAATAGTAATAAGGAAGGTTAGAAGACCAGAGAATGTGAGGTGAGGAAGTGGAAATAATGAATTTTGTTTTGGATGAGTTGAATTTGAGATGCCTATGGGACATCCTGTTCAAGATATCTAAAAGGCAGTTGGTGATATGAGCCTGAAACTCAGAAGAAAAGCTATGGCTGGATATATAGATCTGGGAGTATTATATATAGAGAGGTAATGATTAATCCCTAGGAATCTGATGAGATCCCCAGATGAAATAGTGAAGAAGACAAAGCCTTGGGAGACACCCTTGGTTATACAGGGCATGATATGTATGAGGAACCATAAAAAAAAACTGAAAGGGAGTTGTCAGACAGTAGGAGGAGAACTAGTGGAAAGCCATGTCCTGAAAAGCAAAAGAGAGACTATCCAGGAGAAGGAGATCGACATTGTTAAATGCTCTAGAGAGATTAAGAAGGGTGAGAATTGAAAATAGGCCAGTATATCCTGCCTCTGATATATGACACATGCCTTTCTATGACCATGAAGGAATCACTTAGCCTTTTGATGCCTTAGACAGCCCTCTGAGACTATGAGTTGTGGAGGAGTTATTGATTTGCAATGGTGGAGGGAATCTCTACACTGAGAGTATCTCATACAGGTAAAATCACAGGCCTGCATTAAAAAAAATAAATTTTAGTAAAAATGCGTTTTCTAATAACTGGAGAAGGGATGGACTCATTTTGTCATTAACCATGGTTCTGGAAGTAAAATTAATGTAAGGTAGGTAAAAAGGTCCCAACGTGGACTATAACAAAGAAACATTGAACTACTCCCTTAAGCGTCATGGTGCAGGAAGAAAAGGTTTGAATTTGAAGCCAGGGGACCAGCTTTTAAGTCCTGCCTGCCATTTGTTATCTATATGATCTTGGACACACTATCTAATCTCTCTAGGCTTCAGTTTCTTCAATTTCCAATTTCCTTGTACATTTCAGCTCTTAATCCTAATCTTTAATCCTCTCTTCTGTCTTCTCAAAGTTTTCTTGTTTGCAAACTGGGAATAGTAGTAATAAGATGAACGGACCCATAGGGTTTTTGTGAAGAAAACCCCAGCATCCTTCAAGGCTCAGCTCAAAGGCTACTTCCTCCAAAAGGATTTTCCACTAGTTAGTACTCCCTACAAAATAACTTTATTTCTTTTATCTATTTTGTACATATTACATATTTCCTTACCTATGTGTGTGCTGTACTTTCTCCCCATTTCCCAACAGGAAGATATAAGTCCCTAAAGGGCAGAAATGGTCTCATAAGTGCTTGTGGTATTGAATGGTGTGCTAGAAGTACTATGTTAAGTGGAAGCAACTATTCTTAACCCTACATTTGCCTGTTTCACTCCTCAGAAATCAGAAGGGTGGCTATGGAATAAATTGTAATTCTGAATCAAATTGCTGACTTCCAGAAGGGAATCGGGACTAGCAGCACTGTGACTTTGGACCACCTCTTAGAAGACTGTTCATTTTACCAGAAAAAGCTAAAGGTAAAAATGGCAACATTATATAACTGTGCCCCAGGATATCAATGGCACAAAAATCACGGGGTTTTTTATATTTTATTGTTGCCATTTCTTTTTATACTGCAGCCCCTACATATTAATCTGCCTTGTCACAAAGAAAACACCTGAGCACAGCCAGCCAACACAGCTGTCATATCTGGCTATGTATAATACTTCTCATGCCTATAGTACCTATCTTTCTACTGAGAAGAAGAAAGTGGCTGAAACTGATGACTTCAAGTCATTATTATGCAGTCATTTTTCAGTCTTGATCAATTCTTTGTGACCCCATTTGGGGCTTTCTTGGTAAAGATAGTGGAATGGTTTGCTATTTCCTTCTCCAGCTCATTTTATAGATGAGGAAACAAGTAAACAGGGTTAAGTGACTTACCCAGAGTCACACAGCTAGTGACTGAGGTTGGATTGGAACTCAAGTCTTCCTGACTCCTCCATCCACTGGGTCACCTAGCTACCCCATTATTAGAGTTCACTAAAGGTTTAAGATTGCTATCATTTACATGATTATAGTCATTATGTGTGTAGTTCTCTTGGTTTGAACTGCATTTGAGATGAATCTTCCCATGTTTCTTTGAATTCCCCTCATTCATAATTTCTTATGACATGATATTTTATTATCTTCATATACCACCGCTTGTCTATTCATTAACTCAATCAATACGCTCTCATTTTTTGTTTCATTTGACAAAATACGGCCTAAAATTTTTGCATGTAACTAGGGAAAAACAAAATTCTAAATAAAAGCTAAAAAATACTTTCTATACTCCCAAATGGTATGCCTTTAATATTAACCCAACAGCCAACCTTCTTCCCTAGTTATATATTTCTTAAGTGGTGATTGGTTTTTAATCTGAAGCATTAGACCCTCCTATGTCAAAGTACACCTTCATGAATTCAAGTAATGAGATAACATAAGAACTGTGCATGGTTCTTTCCAACTGTCACAAGTTTATGTTTTCTGTAAGTCTTTCATTGAGTTAATGTAAAACTAATATTCAAGGGGTAAATGAAGGCTACTTTCCTTTTCTATAAGTATTTTCTTTTCCACGCCCATTCATCCACCAACCTCTTAACCCTGGATTTCTTATTCTTTATTTCCATTGTCTTTCTTGGATTTTTCCTCCATCTATGTTCTCACATACCTTGGAATGTGTAGTACTTTGAAACCATCTTAATAGACTTTCATATTTTATCTTGTTTTGCATACATATCTTATCATCTCCTGATAGACGTCAGCATCATAAGCACGGAACATAATGTTTTTTGGTCTCCGTGGCACCTTTTACAATGAATGTAATGGGCATGCAATAAATGGTGCTTGAACTGCATAGGAATTTACTACTATCATTCAATGCTTTTACTGTTATTTAGTCATGTTCAACTCTCCTTGACCCCATTCAGGGTTTTCTTGGCAAAGATATTGGAGTGGTTTGACATTTTCTTTTCCAGCTCATTTTACAGATGAGGAAACTGAGGTAAACAGGGTTAAGGGACTTTCCCAAGATCACACAGCTAGTGAGTATCTGAGGCTATATTTGAACTCAAGAAGATTAGTCTTCCATGTCTGGCACTCTAACCACTGAGCCATCTAGCTTTCCCATCATTCAATAATAACAGCATTTATATAACACTTTAAGGTTTGCAAAACACTTTACATATATTAATTCCCCTGATCCTCACAACAATTATGGGAGGTAGATGCTATTATCCTCATTTTGCTGCTGAGGAAATTGAGGCATAGAGCAGTTAGGTGATGTGTCCAGGTCATACAGCTAGTAAGTGTCAAAGGATTCAAACTCAGGACTTCCTGGCTCCAACTCCACCATGCCACCTAACTACCTAGCAAGAACATTTCATTTTAACATTTCAGTAATACAAGAACTTGTCTTCCCTTTTAAGCCTAAGAGTAGAGAAGCTTTCCTTAGGCTTTTAGATCTTCTCTAAGCAGAAGACTGGTTTGCATTTAACTCTTTGTGTGTGTGTGTGTGATTTATTCAAGTGATTTATTTTGGTTATATTTACTCATCATAGGAAGAACATATTCTATCTGTATTACTGAGTCAGTTCCCCCACGTTCCATAACTCCTAGTGTGGAAGTATTCATGAATGAAACCACAAATATTTATGTGACTTTCATGAGAACTTCCACTTTGAAAAATAGCTGTGAGAAGCCAGCAGCAGTAAACAGGTAAAGCCAATAAGAAGTTGTTTTTTTTTTCTTGGTAACTGCAGGAAAACAACAAAGAGCAGTGAGTGATTTTTTAGATTATGCCAATGCTTTCTGACATTTTCAAGAATGAGCACATCTTTTATTAAAGTAGAAGAAATATTTTTTTCAGATCCCCACATAGTAGCATAGCATCCATTGATTAGGATACAGTAATAACATTAATTACAAATCTAGATTACTTTTAAATTTATATTTTAGTAATCACAGCATCTACACAGAGAAACATTAATATGTGTGTGGCATTATTCTGTCTATAAAAGGAATACTCACTTATCTATAGAATTGTAAACCCCTTACAAACACCCCATGACCCACAAATTAATAATCACTATCCTTTAGTGTCTCTGTATTTACTGATTGTGGGTAGCAAACGTTTCCAAGTAAATCCTACCCCATGGCCTCATCATGATGACCCTGGATATAAGTTTCTTGAGGATAGAGACTGGTTTTTGTCTTGGCATTTCTAATATCTAGCATAGTACCTCATATAGTGTAGTCACTTAATGAATTTTTTGTTGAATTGGATTAAAAACTATAACAGCAGAATGACAACTCTGACAGTTTCTAAATATAGTCCTGGTCTGTAAAATGTTTCCTCTGCATCTGTAAAATGGTAATAATAATAGCACCTACAGCCCAGGATTGTTGTGAGGATCAAGTGAGATAATACCTGTAAAGCCCTTAGCACAATGCCTAGAACATAGAGATCACTATATAAATGTTAGTTGTTATTATTATTATTATTATTATTATTATTATTATTATTACCATTATTATTATTATTTATTATTATTATTATTCCATCAGCAAACTATATCTGCTATCTGAGTACTAGCCTAAGTCTGGAGAGATTTGTCACTACCAGGCTGCTTCTTAGATATAGGTACCTTTTTTCCCTCATATGATGGAAACAAAAGTAGTCTTTGAAATATTAGGAAAATTAGTTCAAATCCAGCTTCAGACATTTACTCGCTGTGTGGCCCTGGGGTAAGACACTTAAATCTTTGTTTGCCTCAGTTTCTTCATCTGTAAAATGGGGATAATAATAGCACCTACCTCCTAGGGTTGTTGTGAGGAGCCAATGAGAGAATAATTATAAAGTGCTTAATACCATACCTGGCCCATAGTAAGTGCTATATAAATGTTAGCTGTTATTATCATTATTGTTATTGTTAAAATTTTGAATAGGAACTCTAGGTGACTTGTGAGCTGAGCTGAGATTTGAACAGGAAGAAAATACCAAACTGGACAGCATTTGGAAAACTGAGTGTACTTTTAACGGCCCCAGGTTGATCTTTGATACGCATACCCATCTTTTGAACGTGGATTTTCTTCTACGCATGAGCTTTAATTAAAACAGGAGAAATATTCCTTCTGTGGGCAAACAAAACAAGTCTCATCCCTCTTTCACATAACAATGCTTCAAATACATAGGACAGCTATCAAACATCACCTCATCCTCAAAATCTTCTCCTCTCCAAACGAAATATCCCTGGTTCCTTCAACTGATCCTTGTATATATGTCTAGAGACCCTTCAACATTCTTCCCGCCCAGCTCTGAAGAATTTCTAGTCTTCTCTAAAATGTGGGATACAGAATTTAATAGCCAGATGTCTAATACTTCACCCCTTTCTTGACACCATACTTTTATTGTAGCCTGAGATCACATTAAAGTTTTCTTTCCTATTTTGTACTATGTGATGTTACATTTTCAAGTTACTTAAACCCCCCAGATCATTTTCAGATGAACTGCTGTCTAGCTACAACTCACCATCTTGTATTTGTGTAGGTTATTTTTAACCCAGGGAAAGAGTTTTATTTAAATGTATATCTCTTCGATTTCATCTTATTAGATCCAAACATTTCCACAGCCAGTCATAATTTTTGGATTCTGACTCTGTCATCCAGTGGATTAGCCCTCTCCCTTCTCTCTCTCTCTCTCTTCTCTCTCTCTCTCTCTCTCTCTCTCTCTCTCTCTCTCTCTCTCCCTCCCTCCCTCCCTCTCTCTCTCTCTCTTTCTCTCTCTCTCTTTGCATTATCTACAAATCTGGCAAGCATTTCATCCTACGCCTTGGTTTTTTTAAAGGGGAAAAAACATGCATTGTTTCCACGAATATAGCATGAATTTGCCTCAGTAAAATTCCAGAATGGATTGTTAAGTAGGTGGTTTATAACCCCTAGAATTATATAGGGTCTTAGGACCAGCATAACAACTAACTCAATTTCTTTTTTTTATAATGTTATTGTATTGGTTATAATTCAAGGAGATATGACAGACACGGTATCTCTATTTCAGGAGGGCACATGAAAGACTAACAGGTATCCTTACTGAAACAGTAAAGAAATATAGGCTGTTATTTGTAGCTTTGCAGTGGGTTGAAAGACCTTACCAAAATATATCAACTAATGAATGGATGTTGGCCTAAAAGGCGCTCTTCTAAGGGCATCCTCCTGAGCTCTGTCTTTGGTCTTGTTTGGTTCAATATCTTTATCAAAGACAAAGCCTTATCTATAGATATGTCAATTAAATTGGAAATAGTAATTCTCTTGGTGTAGAGAGACTAGAAAGTCCTAGAACTGCTTTGAGCTTCAGTTTACTGATGATAATATTTATAGTACACACCTAATTAAGTGGCAAATGCCTTTGAAAACTCTAGAATTGTACTTCAAAAAAAAATGACTCCACAATAAAGGCCTTTTTCAAAAAAAAATTAGGGGGGCAGCTAGGTGGCGCAATGGATAGAGCACCGGCCCTGAAGTCAGGAGGACTTGAGTTCAAATCCGGACTCAGACCAAACACTTGACACTTACTAGCTGTGTGACCCTGGGCAAGTCACTTAACCCCAATTGCCTAAAAAAGCAAAAAAAAAATTAGGCAACAATCTAGGTAAATTATATGGAAACACCATAATGCAAAACTCTTCACGTTTCATACCACATTACAACAGGCTTCATCATTCCATGTGGATATAGGGTCCCCCTCCCAAACTGAAAACATTATGAGCCTGAATTAACACCTCTTGCACCAATGTTATAAAAGATTTTCCACTGTAGTATCCAAAGAATGTTTGGAAGACTAGACAGCTTGTAAGACACTCTCCAGATCTGGGAGGAAGCTATATTGTATGGAGGCTATATTGTATAGTGGCTCTGTTGTCAGAAGACCTACCTGTGATATTACCTGTGTAACTTAGGGCATGTCACTTGACCTCTCCTGGCCTCAGTTTCCTCATCTGTAAAATGAGGGGGTTGGATTAGATGATCTCTGAGATCTTTTCAGCTCTAGATCTAGTACCAAATAGAATGAGTTTTCTATTACATATAAAAAATTTCTCTCATAGGAGGGAAAATCAGAAAATTTAGGGGAGAAAAACCTGCCAATCTCGAATTAAGGTTCATTTTGTATGCTAACATAATCTTCAGACACCTCAGCAGAGTTTCTTTACGTTTATATGCTCATGTGAAAAGTGCCATAGGCTACAGACAGATGTGCCTATAAGCCAGAGAACAGGGGGACCCTGGACAGAGTCTAAAGACTGAGTTTGAATCTCAGCAAACACTCTGTGCCTTCATCTTCCTCTTCCTTTTCTAAATATTCTGCTTGTATATTTGTGGGGGTTTTTTCTGAATCTAATCTAGCATCAGTTATTACTTTGGCAGAATATTGCAACAGATAGATGGAAGGTGCTGGAGTTGGCCACATGCTAGCTGTGGAATCATAGGCAAGCTACAAGGCCTTTAAGTCTGTAAGACAACGAGTTACAGAGATTACTGATCTGCATTGATGGAGTTTCCACACTGGGAGATCTGGACCAAAAAACCAATTACTTTGATATTTTAATTGATATATGATCTCATTGATAAAAACAGATCTAAATGATTAATTATTACACAAAGGATCTATGGGTGTTCCCTTCATCAAAGAAGATTATAATCCCTATATAATTAAATAGACATACCTAGGGAATTACCTGTACCACAAAGCAGAAAGCAGTTACTTGCCTTGACTGGTCAGATAACTAAGTATCAGAAGAAATATTTGTACCTAGGTCTTCTTGACCTAAAGGCCCAGCATTCTATCCAGTCTACAATAATACTACTTCAGTTTTTACAATGAAACCTTTATGGATGACTGGAATCTTGGAAAAATCACTAAAATGTTGGCTAGAATCAGGATCCAAAAAAGATCAATAAACTCTCAATGGTGAGAACTGCCTCAGGATTGACAAGATTAAATTGTGCAAGTTGTCTTGTCTAACTCTTCATGACTCCATGGACGTCATGAATGGCCAGCACATCAATGGTGACCATAGGGTTTTCCTGACAGATACTGGAGTGGTTTCCCATTTCCTTCTCCATTGGATTAAGGCAAACAGAAATTAAATGACTTACCCAGAGTGTCTGAGGCCAGATTTGAACTTGGATCTTCCTGACTCCAGGTTGGGTATTCTGTCCACTGTGACACCTAGTTGCCCTGATTATAACATAACAGATGCCTTTCTAGGTTGGTGGGCACTTTCCAGAGCTTCATTAACATAGCCTTCAAGAACTTAGGGTCACCTGGGTATAAGTATTATAGTAGATAGAGATCCAGTAAAGGGATCTTGGGCTATTAAGAGATCTTTTATCAAGTAAGAACACTCAGATTAAGGAAGAAGATGGCCCCACCATACTGTGCATGGGTGAGAACACATGTGGAATATTGTGCCTACAACATTTTAGAAGAAACATTCATAGGATCATAGAGCTAGAATGGAAAAAGCCATCTAATCACATTTTACAGATGAGAAAACTGAGACCTAACAAGCTTAAGTGACTTGCCCAAAGTCACAAGTAGTAAGATTCACAAGTGGGCAACAATGTAAAGTCAAAGAACAACCACCACAAAACAGCTAAAAGTGAATGTGATAAAATTACCAAGAATTAGGCTAGCCTCAAAGAAGAGATAAGAAGATATTCCCACCCCACTGCTTTGCAGAGATGGAAAGTACTTGGGTGTGTTACATTACATGTATTCAGACTTTTTCAATGTGTCAACAGTTTCACTGATTTTGTTTCCCTTTTTAAAACTCATATGTGTTTGTGTGTATAATATTGTATTTATATGTGTGTATATATATGTACATACATATACATATGTATATATATATGTATTCATACACACATATATATAGGATGGCTCTGGGAGAGGGAGAGACAGAAAGAAATTGTGGTGATTAAAAATTCTGGATGTTAAAAAAAAGCTATCAATAAAAAATTACTTTTTAAAAACTATCAGAAGTGGACTTTGAACCTAGATCTTCTGACTCCAGAGTCATTGCTCTTTCCACTGTATGTATAATTTTACCTCCTTAACTGGTTCCTGTCATGTAATCAACATAGTCAAGGCTCTCAAAACCATGTTAATGAAAGAACAAGGGATGTTTAACCTGCAGAAAATTTGGGTTTGGGATTAGGGCAGAGTAAGCATGATAACTGTTTTGAAAGTATATGTTGTGTTAGAGGGTAAAACTAAAAACAATGGTTGGAAGTTCTAGGTAGGCAACTTTCAGCTCAATAAGAGGATGAACTTGTAATCTGAAAATTGAAGGGGGGGGGCAGCTAGGTGGCGCAGTGGATGGAGCACCAGCCCTGAAGTCAGGAAGACCTGAGTTCAAATCTGGCCTCTGAGCAGACACTTGACACTTAACTAGCTCCGTGATCCTGGGCAAGTCACTTAACCCCAATTGCCTACAAAAGAAAGAAAAAGAAAGAAAGAAAATTGAAGTGGGGTCAGGAAGGAGAGAGAAGAGAGAGCAGGAAGATACCTGAATAGGCTGCTTTGCTTTGAGGTTTTTAGCTTAGATAATCTGTTAGGTTCCTACATGCTAAGATACTTGATCCTTATTTTCAAGGACCCTCAAATACATGAATAATTAACTTTGTATTCAGGGAAATGTTGCTATATGTTCTACTTGCAAGTAGCAGAGATACCATTAGAGCACATGAGAAACCCTCTACTACAACACTGCCATCCCTTGAGCTCTCCCTTGCAGGCTGGCTGCAACAGCCAACGTTAAGCTTAAAACATGGGGTCACTTCAGCATGACTGCATTAGTAACTGATTTTACACAACATCCTCGCTTTGATTCTAACTGTACTCATGGTGCAGCACCACAATCAGATCTATATCATTCCTCTATCTTCAACTGCGTCGTCCTAGATCTCTGCTGCTTGTGCAGAGTCAATTTGGGATATATGGGGGGAAAAAAACCTTGCAAACCTCAAAGCACTCCGTAAATATTGTCTACTAATAAAAATTTATGCCTTGACAGATGGCAAAGTGGACCTGCTTGGTGTATTTGGTCATTGCAGTGCTGTCCTGGAGAGTTTGGGGTGACCTAAATGGAACTAACAATCTGGACTGCAATTCTGTGAACTCTTTTGATGAATCTTTTGTCCTCCCACACTCCTGGATGCCTTATAACATCTCTGTTTCACAAAGGACTTTTACTCCACATGATGAAATCACAGGTAAACAACAAAGAGATTTTTGTTTGTTTCTGAAATGCACGTGGTATGGCAGAGAAAGAGCACTGAGTTTGGACTCACAGGATCTGAGTTAAAATCCCAGCTCTGCTTCTTTACTACCTCCATAATGTTGGGCAAGTAACTTGCCACCTGAGTCTCAACTTCCTAGTCTAAAAAATGAGGTGACTGGGGCAGCTAGGTGGTGCAATGGAAAGAGCACCAGCCCTGGAGTTAGGAGGACCTGAGTTCAAATACGGCCTCAGACACATAACACTTACTAGCTGTGTGACTTTGGGCAAGTCACTTAACCCCAATTGCCTCGTCAAAAAAAAAAATGAAGTGACAAGACTAGATGATTAACAAGATTCCATTCAGTTGTAGATCTGAGTCTATGAATCTTTTCTTTCAATGAAACCCTTTGATATAACTACTGTTTACACTTGTTATGTTGCTGTTCAGGCATGTCCATGACCCCATTTGGGTTTTTCTTGACAGAGACAGTGGAGTGATTTGCCATTTCCTTCTCCAGCTCATTTTACAGTAAGGAAACTGAGGCAAAGAGGGTCACACAGATAGTGTCTGAAGCTAGATTTGAACTCACAAAAATGAATCTTCATGCCTCTCCACTGTGCCACCTAGCTGCCCTTAATTATGAACTTGTTATGTAAAGATGTAAAATATGCTTTTTTAAAAGGCAGGGGGCATATCATTTATGCCGTAGCAAAAATATTCTAGACAAGAGTTAGAACTGTTGACATGTTACTCTAATCAAAGCTAGGTCCTCATAATTTAACTGATTTTTTTTTTTAGCAGCAGATAGTCTAAAATATGTGTCAAACATGTAGCACAGTGGCTACATGGGGCCCCAAACCAGATTAACATGTAATTGGGAAATATTTATCAAAGTAAATAAAAATACAATAAAACATAGTCATTATATTTTAAATCTAAGTCAACATGTGGCCTGCAGGGATCCTTCTGTATAGTTTAGTGGCCCTTATTTCTGTATAGTTTGATAGCGCTGCTCTAAAATACTGAAGCAGTATGTCTTTGAGTTTCTCTAGCTCTTCCATGAGTGTAACAAGCATCTTTAATTTTGAAGAATGTCTCTCTTCATAAATGTAACTCTGTAAGAAGAATCTCCAAACACTATTGGCTGTTATTTGTAATTGTATTTTATATATATATGTGTGTGTGTATGTATGTATATGTGTGTATATGTGTATGTATATATGTGTATGTATGTGTGTATGTATATGTGTGTATATGTGTGTGGGTATATGTGTGCATGCATGTATGTGTGTATATGTGTGTGCATGTATGTGCATGTGTGTATATGTGTGCGTGTGTGCATGTATATGTGTATATGTGTGCATGTGTATGTATGTGAGTATGTGTATGTATATGTGTATGTATATATGTGCATGTGTGTGTATGTATATGTGTGGGTATATGTGTGTGGGTATATGTGTGCGTGCACGTATGTGTGTATATATATGTGTGCATGTGTGTATATGTGTGCATGTGTGCATGTATATGTGTATATGTGTGAATGTGTATGTGTGTATGTATATATGTGTGTATGTATATATGTGCATGTGTGTGTGTGTGTGTAGTTTTGACTGAGGCAAAGCACGATACCAAACATTTGTTACATGATTACTATGTGTCAGGCACTCTGCTAAACCCGGGGGATAGATAGAAACACAAGGACCATTCTGCCTCTCAAAGATCTCCTGGGGGTAATACAACCAAAAAGGGCTCAGAAAAGTGGGAGAGTGAAGGGTGCATGGTGTAAAAGTGCAGAATGTCACAAGCATAGCAGGAAGGAAATAAAAATTGGCCAACCTGGACCTTTCATAAAAATGGAGGCACCAGGAACTGGCCAATGGGAGAAGGGAGCAAAACAGAAGAATGTTTCTGGGTGAGAATGCAGATGAGGCCTAGAATCCCAGTTGGGAAATGGATGAGTTTCCCTCTTACAGAACCGTGTAACATTTTGGGGAAAGACATGTCAATTTAGTGATGTCGCTGTTTCTTCAGTGACGCTACAAGCTACCAATAGCACTGGATTCAACAGATTCCTGCTCCAGGCCCAAGGCCCTGATGGAACTGCTCCTTTGGGTACTTTTCAAATCACAGATAGAAACACACAAGGCCTCACGTGTAAAAATATTGAGGTATGTAATATTTATTTCTATAAAACTCCTTCATTCCTTAGATTATTCTACTGGCAATATCCAAAAGAAGGAATCATTTTGTTTAAGACATTTGAAAGTTTTTCTTTCGTTCAGAAGCTGAATTGGATGTTTGAGAACATCTTAATATTTTTTTCAAATCACTTTTTTTGTTTTGTAAAACTTCACATTTTTAGAGGTTTACTTAAGTTAACAAATGTTTAAAGAATTTCTAATGCTTGGTTTTCATCAGTCTTCCCCTTTTCCTGAATTAGATGGATTTTCTTTTTCTCAGTACATAGACAACAACTAATTAAATGCTTGCTATATGCTAGGACCTATTAGAGACAATATGGTACAGTGGATAAACAGCCAGGTCTCTGAGTTAGGAACACCTGGATTCAAGTCCCAGCTCTAATGAATATTAACTATATGCCCCTGGGCAAGTCAGTGGCAGATAGCAAGTCCCATAAATTCACTTATCTCTGTGCAAATGATTCCTAGATCTATATATATCTAACCCCAGTCTCTGCTCAGTGACAGAAATGCAGCTCCAACTGCCTCTTGGACATTAATTAGATATTCTGTAGGTATTTCAAACACAACACATCAAAAACAGAATTCCTTATCTTTCCTACCCTAAAACCCTCCCCCTTTCTGAATTTCCCTATTAACACTAAGTGTACCACTATCCTTTGTACAAATGTTCACAACCTTGGAGTGACTTCTCACACATTCCCACATCTTTTCATTTGTACCTTCATATCTTTCATACCTTCCCCTCTCTCCACCACCACTAACTCAGCATCTACCCTAGTTTGGGCCCTTATCACCTCTCACCTTGGCTATTAGAATAGCCTTGGAATTGGTCTCTCTGCCTCTAGTCTCTTTCTACTCCAATCCATCCACCACTCAGCTGATGGGGTGATAACGACCCAACCAAGTCAACCCCTGCTCAGTGAGCTCCCTATTTCCTCCAGGATCAAATATAAAGAACCCTGTTTTGACATTTAATATTCTTCATAACCTGGCCCCTTCCAACTTTTCTAATTATACCTTACCACTTTCCAACTACACTAACCTACTTGCATTTACTTTCCAATTACACTAACCCTACCTCTGTACTGGCTGCTCCCATGCCTAGAATGCTCTACCGCCTCACCTCTGCCTCTTAGCTTTCCTGGCATCCTTCAATACTCAGCTCAAATACTGTATTTTGCAGGAAGTTTTCCCCATATCCTTCAGTTGCTAATGCCTTCCCCTTTGGGACTGCCTTTATCCAACTCTATATATCTTGAAGGTACCTAGTTATTTACAAGTTGTCTCCCTGCTCCCCCCATTAGATTGTCATCTCCTCTTCTTGTCTTTCTGTGCTTAAGCCTTAGCATATTGCCTATTATGTAGCAAATACGTGATAAATTATTATTGACTGACAATCTCTCTCTGCCTCAGGTAACTATTGTCTTAGATTATGTATTGTAGAATAATAGCTGAACTGCATTACTTAAGGGACCTTCTTCATCAGGACCAAAAAAATACACACACACACACACACATATATATATATATACATACCATATAGATAGGAGATGCTTTGAGGAAAATATTTAAGACATTTGTTCTACCAAGTCAAATGCTTTATTAAAGCAATATATAGTGAGATCTTATATCTTCTATACCTTTTTCTTTGATGTTACTATAAAGATAAATTGTCTTAAGGCATAATGCCTTTCTTCAATATGACTGTATTCTCCCACAAAATCACTGAAAAGGGAATAAATGTACATTATTAATCTTGACAGCAGAAATAAATCTCCTTAGGACTTTTGAAGTTGCCATTTTAAAAAAGATAAAAAATTTCTTTAAAACCCTGTTTAGATATTGAATTTTTTAAAAGCTCTGAGATTTGGCATTCTAAATCAGTACAGAAATATTTTGTTATTTTTGAACAATATCAATTGATCACCAAGTGACCCTAATGCCTTTATAAATCCTTGGAAAAGAAAATAACAGACATTGAGCAAAGAGTCTTTGATTCCAGTACCTTGTTCCATTGATTGATGGACAGAGGTAAATTCTTAAAGTTCAGCAACTTCACCTAATCCTGTGAATATGGGAAACATCTTTTGAAGACATGTATTGCTTTTCTTTGGTCTATGCTGACTTTATTTTATTACAGAACTCTTCAGTAAGTCACAGCGACAGCAGCAATAAGCAGTTAGTCCAGACAATTTGGATAGCACCTCCTGAAAGTGGAAATATTCAGTTCAGGTATGTTAAGTTTCTAATATAGCTGCACAAGTAAATTTGATTTCTTCACATGAGTCACTTTAAGAACAATTTGCTGGCATTTATGAGTACTAAACAAGCACCCCTCAAAAGAAAAAAAGAAACTGTTTCTGCCCCTCAAGAAACTTCAACCTAAGGAAATATTACATACATACATGAAACAATTAGAAACCAATATCTGGTGGTATTTAATTAAGTAGTGTAGATGACAAATGCTAAAGGAGATTAGCATGTTTAAAGAGGCAATGGAATCCTCTAGCACTGGGGATTGTGACATGACTTCCCCCGCCCAAACCCCCATGGTTAGTTATAACTAGGATCTAGGCAACCTGACATGGTAATAGCTTGTTATCATGGTGGTTTTTTGGTTGTTTGTTTGCTCATTCTCCCAACCTAAGTCTTGACTTTGGACTTTATATTAAGGCCAGGTTCTGTATGCTTTTGGATAGAATGGCTGGGTTGTGCTTGTCTTGTTTTATGTCTACTTTGCTCCTGCTTTCTTGGACTATTAAGTGTTGTGTTTATTCCAGGATCTCAGAGACACATCAGGCTGAGGATATGCAAGCTTTCAGGGTGCCCAAAGTAGCCTGAACTAGGATGAAGTCCAAGTGTTACCCTCCAGGTCTGAGCTCTGTAAGTTTCTGACTTTAGCTTGGGTTTGAGCAACATAACTTTGGACTTGCCTCTGATTGGAGCTCCAGTAGACCACTATTAGACTCAGTCTACCAGGTGGAAAGCTCTGCAGGTTGAGTGACAGAATGGCAGGTCTCCCTTTAATCTGGGTTTACTGCCCTGGTTATTCTGTTGCAGGCAACATATTGGGCTTGAAGACAGATCTAAGACTCAACTTCCTCCTGTGATCAGAGTTACAGAGCTGCTGTTGGCTTCTGTACTTGTTGTTCACTTAGTACGCAGCAAAAGGCCTGCAATTGCTCCTTGTCCTGGACTGTATACTACCATATCCCCTACCAGATGCAGATCCTTTCTCCAGTTTTCACTGGATCTGGGTTCCAGCACAGGGTAGTCAATGACAGAGCTTCCAGTTGGCACCTGTTTCTACTCACTGCCAAAGGTCAGGCCCCTCTGTCCTAGATCTGAGACCTCTTCTTGCCCCCCTGACACAGTTTGGGACATACCTTTGTTCATTCGCTGTGCTCCAAAGGCTCCATGTAGTCACTCCTGCTAGACCCCATCCCCAGACATCTGTCTCCCTATACCAACCTTGGCTGAGAAAATGATTAAATTTTTTTCAAGGATTTCACAGTCAGGATTTGGTGTGGTCCCTTTTCTAGTTAAGCACTAAGGAAAGATACAGAAAAGTGTCTCTAAGAGATCTGAGGAGAGGGATGAATTCTGGAGAGAGAGAGAGAGAGAAAGAGAGAGAGAGAGAGAGAGAGAGAGAGAGAGAGAGAGAGAGAGAGAGAGAGAGAGAGAGAGAGAGAGAGAGAGAGAATGCTTCAGTCTATATTCAAACATCAGTTCTTTCTCTAGAGGTGGATAGCATTTTTCATCATGAGTCCTTTGGGATTGTCTTAGATCACTGCATTGGTAAGAACAGCTAAGTCATTTACAGTTGTTCATTGTACAATATTGCTGTTACTGTGTACAATGTTCTTCTGGTCCTGCTCACTTCACTCTGCATCAGTTCATATAAGTCTGGGTTTTTCTGAAATTATCCTGCTTATCATTTCTTATACCAAAATAATATTTCATTCCAATCATATATCACAACCTGTTCAGCCATTCCCAATTGATGGGCATTCCCTCAATTTCTAATTCGTAGCAACCACAAAAAAAAAAAGAGCTGCTATAAATATTTTTGTACAAATGGATTCTTTTCCTTTTTTTTATTTCTTTAGAATACAGACCAAGTAGTGGTGTTACTGGATCAAAGGGGATGCATAGTTTCAAACTACTCTCCAGAATGATTGGATCAGTTCACAACTGCACCAACTGTGCATTAGTGTCTCAGTTTTCCCATATCCCCTCCAACAGTTATCATTTTCCTTTTCTGTCAATTATGTGCACCTCAGAGTTGTTTTAATTTGCATTTCTCTAATCAATAGTGATTTTGAGCAAGGTAGAAAATATTTTAACAAGTCAAAATAAGTTCTAAGGTTGGGGAATGATATGAACAAATGGTCAGCAGCAGGAAAGAATAGGATGGATTCAGCATAATGATGAGTTAGCTAGCTTGCTGGGGACATAGAGTAAGTGAGCAGAAGTAGTTTAATAAAGTAAGTCTGGGAAGTTAGGTAAGTAGGCTTTGGGAAGGCCACATTGTACAGAACCTCAATGAGAGTATAAAAGATAAGCAATGGGAACTAACTGAACATTTTTGAGCAAGAGAGTGATAGGATCAAAACTGTGGGTATCAGGAGGATTATGGGATGTTCAGTGAAGACTAGCACCTCTGGTGTGAGGGCTTGCTGAACCCTTTTCTTGAAAAAAATATCCGGCCTGCTCTTCTCCTGTTTAGTTGAACCCAATTTATCTATTTGCAGTCTTTCTAAGATGATAGATAGATAGATCTAAATAATATATTAAAGAGATCTCCACCCTTTGTCCACCCAAATGATTTGGGGTTCCATATTGCTTGAGGGGGAGAGTTAATGGGGGCAGCAATGTTAGCAATAATGTGAGTCTCAACAACAGTTGCTAAACAATGAAGAACCACCGGTTGCCTACATAAATATATTTTAACCAGTGAGTGTATTACCCCTATACAATATTGGCCACAAAACCATAGAAGGGACTTTCCCTAAAGCAGACCTATGCACTATCCATCTTGTCTCACCTTAAGGTGAACCTGAGCTTATAATATCATTATCACAAATTAATACCCCCCAAGTGGGCTTTTCTGTATACATTATGGGTAGCCACATGCACAGCTCCAAATTGCCTCAGTAACCAAGCAATCATGGTTTGGACCAGACCCAGGATATTTGTTAGTATTTTTTGCTTTGTATAAACTCCATGCTTCAGTCCAGAGAGGTGCCTGTCTCCCTTAAGGAACAGGGTCCACTAGGTGCATCACCCCAAATAAATGCCTTTGCTTGATTTGGAGACAGTCTGAGTCTGAATTCTTTCAAGATGACACACGACACATGCCTTTTACCTCATTGTAATATATAAAACATCTATATCTACATATATAAACTTGTTGAACAAAGTTCTTTGTATCTTTCGAGGAATCTTACATAATTTTGATGCATGTATTCAAAGGAATGTTGTTGGAATATAACCTTTAAGGTGGCATTTTGTTGTACCAAATCAAATTATTTTTATAGTAAAAAATAAGCCTAATTCTATTCTTTATATCTTTCAGTAGATTTGTGATTGTAAAAATGAAAATGAAATCTACAGTAGAAAACACTTTTTAAAGCCAGATTATTTCATACTTTTGTCAAAGATATTCTCAAAATATGTATAAATTATTCTTATAAAAATTTCTGTAGATTGGGAAAAGACATATACTCCAGTTAATTTGTTTTTTATGTTCTTTCAGTCACTTTTCTTTGGTATTAGTAAGGACAGATTTTTTTTTCTGCACCTTTGGTGTGTTTCCCTATGAATCAATCTCTCAATGGCATTATCTCTAGCATGGATCTCTTCTATGTATACTTGGTCTACTCCAGCTGCTTTTCATTCTCTTTACTGCCATTTCTACTTTCTCATAAGCATCTTGCATCCAAGCATAGTGGTTCCACTCTGCTTGATGGTGAAAAGTTTGTTATAAAAACCCTTTGCAATTCTCTTCCATCTTTCTTTTCATTTGTCCTCTGTAAATGTCCTCAGAAGGCTTTGTTTAGTATCTTTCACCAAGCTTTATTTAACTAATTTTGTCCTCCTTTACTTCTTTCAGTTTGATGAAGTGATGTTGCCCAAAATCTTCCACCATCCTCCTCAAGACTTTACAAATGAGTTTATTATCTAAACTCATCTTGCTCTTTGCTGTCATATGTCTACACTTGGCCAGTAAGTCAAGTGTTTCCTAATGAAGGCTTTTTTTGGAGGAAATAACTGGAATTGATATCTCTGTCCTCCTGTCTGTATCTCTTTTTTTAAATGATCAATAACTTGTTTAATTCAGGTTAAAGGCATTTTATTTGCATGCCATATCTTTTTGTAATTTTTATTTTTCTAGATTTGTACTTTGATCTTTTCCCCTAATAAGTCAAGAAATGACTATACACATATGATTCAGGAACGAGTTACTTTCTGTTGATCAAAATAGCAATTTCTTTTTTTGTTTGGTTATACTTGATGCTTGCTCCATCTGGCTCCTTCAAATTCTTGTTTTGAAGAAAATATTTGTAACATAGAGGCCTGCAAGTCTTTGGCCTCTCTCCTTCCTTATTTCTGAAACATATTCTTACTATCCTCAACTATTCCCAATGTTTGTAGGAAACCATGAATCTATACCAAGCAAGCAATTGTTTGTTAATTAATTGTGCTTATTGTAACATAATTGAAATAGAAAGGTAACTTTCTAGTCTTGGACTACAATAGGATTAAAGAGAAGGGTATAGATGAAAAATTATAGAGTTAACAAGACTCAACAACCATTTGGATACGCGGAATGAGGAAAAAGTAAAAGTAAAGGGTCACACCAAGGTGTTGAGCCTGGACAGAGGTTGGTAATGAAATTAACAGAAATACAGAAAGAGTATATATCAATTTAATTTGTAGGGTCTTACCAAGTTCTTTGTAGAATCTCTCTACCTTGATGACTCCACAACACTGATGAAAAGACATGATTTCTACCTTTTGGCAAAAAAGTGGTAGACTAAAGGTGAAGAATGAGACATATGTTTTCAAATGCAGCCAATACAAGAATCTGTTTTGGTTGACCATACTTATGTCATATAAGGAAGGGTTGGGTTTTTTTTTTGGTAGGGGAAAAAGAAAGAAAAGTGTTAATTAAACATTAAAAAATATAGAAAGAGAAGAAATTTCAGAAAAGGACATAAATAGGGCAGTGTTCATACCACTGTGTAAAATTTAATATTATAAAAGTAATTTATAATGTTATAATGTATAATGTATGTAAGATATGAGATTATATGTAATAGTAATTATTTTATTCAAAAAATCTCTATTTGTTAATTCTCTGAAATAGAGATTAGTGAATAGGTAACAATTATTTGTATGGTGGTCTTTTTTGCAAATACTTATCACCACCATTAAAATACAAGATGACCTAATAATTTATGTAATGTTTCTTGTTGGAAACAAGGTAAAAGGAAAAATAACATGACACAAAAGAAAGCTACATCCTGATTAGCTGGCAGATTCTTTGAGTTTATTTCTTATAGCTATGCAGCTAGGGAATTCATTCTTTTCAAAGCAAGGGACCCCAAAGTGTTAGTGAATATAATAATTTATTCATACAAGTACAGAAGTAAGGGAGGTATGTTGGAGACCAGAAGCAAGGAAGCTTTCTTTAGTGAGGTCAGGGAAGTACTCATCTGGCACTTATACCAGGGTCTACAGTCCTGGCATGTGACAATGAGTAAGAGAATTGTGCAGTTAAACTTCCCAGATGAGATGAAGGGTACCTCAGTAACTGCAGGTGTGAGAAAGAGTAAAGAGAAACAGCTATATCTGAAAGACAGCCAGAATCTTGAAATACAACATTTATGAAAACCCAAGGAAAAGACAGAGTAGCTTTGGATATCTAAGTAAATCATTTGTGCCAACTTTGCAAATTTGCACAAAAAAATAGAGTTCTTCAGCCACTTCTCATTTTTAATACAGGAAAACGTATTTGTGCATTACTAGATAGGGAGTGGACTTGTGATTTCATTGGCAATAGGGAACTACTGGCTGAGAACTCCCTCTACAAATTCAGGAAAACACCATCTCTGCAATATACTCCCTAAGTTGCCTGAGCCACAGAGAAGTTAAGTGACTTGCTCAAGGTTACACAACCAATGTGTGTCAGAGACAGGACTCAAACCCAAGTCCTCCTGGTTAACTATTCACAACCCATCATACCACCTCTATTGTCTGCATATAAAGGCTAAAGCAATACAATAAATGGGAGAGCAAGTAAGGTAGATTTTTTAGGACAGGCAAAGAATTCTGTTTCCCACTTCAAACACCCTTCTGAAACTGAACCTAAAATAAATACAAAATGCATGAGTAGTCATCTCTAAAAGTAACGTACCCTAAGAGAGAGAGGGTGTGTGTGTATAAATGGAGTATTGAGATGACAAGAGTGTCTCTTGAAGTGTAATTAAGGTAACAGTTAGCCAAGGTCTACTCAGCAGTATCATAACATGTCAGTAAGTCAACACACATTCTATGAAGTGTTTACTATGTGCCAGACAATGTTGCCTATCAGAAAGGTGGTTATTTACATGGATTCTGAAATCAGGAGAGCTAACGAGTCTGAATTGGTCAGTGTGTTTTTAGAACTCAATGGGTCTCTTGTCAATTTGGCTTTCTTTATTGTGACATGGAGGCAAGATGAGACAAAGGCCTGGAGGCTGGAGACAATAGGAATGGAAATAAGGAAACAGATGTAAGTGACTTCAGAGAGACAATCAACCATAGGAAAAACACCTTTAAAGTAATGTTAACAACATGTTACTAGCAAAGCATTCTAATATTCTATTCCTTTTCTCATTTGGCTTTGATTTCAAGATACCAGTACATCTCGTGATATGTTAAGCCAAATCTTCTCCTTGATATCCTTTTGCTATGCATCTTGCCTGGAGGAGACCAAAGTATTTATAAGCATACTCATTGTCCATTGGCTTAATTTGACCTGTACATAAACTTGAAGCTTTCAATCTACATCTTTCCATAGAGCACATTAAGAATTTTCTATTTATCCAGTCCAAATAACATTTTGATGTCATTGGAGAAAGAATGCATCAACTGAAGAAGTGTTTAATATGTTTTCCAATGGATCCATGACACGTGTTTTTTATTTCAACCAATTTGGAGATCATATATAGTTCTATATAGGAGAGATGATAATGAATTTAAGGCTAGGCAGAACCATAATGGATTTAACCATCTCCCTGAACAATGCCATGTTTTTTATTAGTTGTTCTTAATATGATTGTGTGCTGATATATTTCAAGAAGAGAACAAAATTCCATGTAACAGTAAATAGTTTTCTCACTGTTATTACTTGGATCTTTTTTATACAGGATATCCCAAAGGTCTTAGGGAAATTTTAAACTACTAAAATTTATTATTTATTATCTTATTTAGTCAAACTATTATCACAGCACTAAATTGCATTCAGACTTTTGGGACACTGTTCATTTACAATACACAAATAAGCAATGGGTACAAAACTAAGGCAAAGGGTTAGCAGTAATCATCAAAGATAGTATAAATATTATTTATTTTGAAGTGGCTTCCTTGATTATCACTAATAATAAGTTAACCAATTCTGGAAAAAAAATTTGGTATACCTTTTTTTGTTCTGCAGTCTACATATCATTGGGGTTTTTTGCTTATAGTTTTTTTGTGAGAAAAAATCTATAAATACTTTGGATAAAGTTCATTAAAAGCTTTAACTGACCTATAAAAAAAGACTTGACAATAGATTCCATATGTTGGGGGAAGGGGAAGATAAGGAAGAAGGAAGAATCAAGGATGACTAAAGTTTTGAAAGTGGGTGGTGGATGGTGATGCCATTAACAGAAATAGGGATTGTGTGTGTGTGTGTGTGTGTGTGTGTGTGTGTGTGTGTGTGTTTGGTTGGCATGGGAAGAAAAGTTTACTTTTGACATGTTCAACTGTGGCACAAAACAATTTACACAAATTTCTTACCTCATGTGTAATCTGGCTCTTATTTCCTTGGCAGAGCAACTGTGTTTCAAGATTTGGATGAACCTGGAGTTAGTATTAAAAGCCAGACTCTCCAAACCTTGACAGGATCAACTAAGGTAAATGCATATCTTAAAGCTTCAGATACAATCTAGAACTCTGGGGAAAAGGAAGAATGAGATTAAGTTGAATCAAGGTTTTCTCTCTTTCTTAGCACACATTTATCCAGAGCACCTACACCTCTTCAGGTTTAGACATGGTGGCCCACTTGTAGGAAGGAGGCACCTGGGCATAGTGGGAACTAGCAGACTGGGAGTCAATACCCCAAGGTTTTCTGCCCAACCCTGTTTCTGTTAAGGGTACCACCATACTTCCAATAATCCATATTCAGACCCTTGATGCCATAGTAGACTATCTTATCTATTCTATTTCCATAACGTAGCTCACATTTCCTTCTCTCCATTCTTGTGCCCCCAGTCCTAGTTCTGGCCCATATTGCATCTCACCCAAATAGTTGGGATAACCTCTTAATTAGTTTCCATGTCTCCAGTCTCTTTCCACTACACAGTGGCTCAGTGGTTTCCCCTTGCCTCCAAAATAAAGTACAAAATTTTGTACTTCGTAAAAGCCCTTCAGAATCTGCCTCCAGCCTTCCTTTTCCAGCTTCTTGTTACTTTCCACACACTGTCCATCAAACTGACCTGGCTGCTATTCCCCTTAGACATTTCTTCTCCCATCACTGTGCCTCTGTTCAAATTGTCCCTCTAACCAAGAATGCACTACTTTCTTGCATTGGCCACAGAGAATCCCTAACTTCCTTCAAAGCTCAGCCCAAACCCTATGTCATGCATGGAGCCTTTCCTGATATCCTCAGTTGCTAAATCCCTCCCTCCAAAAATAGATTTTTATGTATTTTGTATTTAAGTTTCTCTATGCATATTTTCCTCCAATAGAATGTAAGCTCTTTGAGAACAGTAGCCATTCCTTGTTTGTGTTTTCATGATATCCCTAGTATTGCCCAAGGCATAGTAAATACTTAATAAATGCTTATTGAATTGAATTGATTTGAACTGAATTCTGTGACTAACTTTATAACCTTGGAGGCAAGTCAGTCAGTTAATAAACATTTTTAAAGTGCCTGCTATGTGCCTGGCAGTGTGCTAAGTGCTGGAGATAACAAAGGCAAAAGATACTCCCTGCTCTCAAGGAGTTCACAATCTAATGGGGATAACATGCAAATAACTATGTTCAACCAAGCTACATGCAAGATAAATTGGAAATAATCAAGTCACTTAACTTTTTTAAAATGCAGTTTCCTCATCTGTAAAAGAAGGGATTTGACTAGATTATCTTTTAGATCTAACACTCTATTCTAATACCATTTCCTAGCAGCATTCTCACCTTAGGAAATCCCTCTACCCCTGCAGCCCCTTTCTCTGGTCAATTACTCACAGAAATCTCAATTTAAAGGAAGTTTCCAGCCTAGCCATATTCACCCTTTCATTTTTCTCAGGGCTCTACTCCTGACTCTCCAGACTTCTTTCTCCACCATGACAAGCCTTTTATGTGTTCTAATAGACATCCCCCCCCCATTAGAACTGAGGGCACATTGAGGGCAGGGACTCTTTCCTTTTGCTTGTATTTGTATTGCCAGCACTTAGCGCAGTGCTTGGTGGCTTAATAAATGCTTGTTAAATGCATTGGGAAGAGGATTGACCCCCACCCAAAATGCATTTATTGTTTTATTATTGTGTTAGAAATAGGCTTGACACCACAATTTAGTATCAAGAAAGTTTATTACAGAGAAAGTCCAGAGGATTTAGACGTTTCTGGCCAGAAGCCGGCTCATCCCCTCTTCAGGAGGGGTGGGCCCTGAGTGCAAGGGCAAGTGTGCTTTTATGCAGTTGAATTTGTTGCGAAACCTCCCAGGCCTGGATTGGTCCATCCCTTCCCAGGTTACACCTTTCCTTACATGTTTCCCCTTGACATGCTCTGGTATGTTCCCCCTCCCTTGGTCATACGTCCCGTGACTCGTTAATGAGGCTCTAATTTTATGCGGGGTGTGTCAGATAATAGTAATGAAATTCATTAAGTAGGCGCACTAACATTTTTCAGGTGTCCTCAGGTTGACCCTAACTGGTCTGAGCTGGCTCGACCCTTATCTTGATTTTGGGGTCTTTATGGAACCATCAACTTACTTTTTATTGGCTAAGCCCGAGCCCACCTACAGTGTACTACTTCCTGGAGCTGTTCTTTAAATTTCTGCATTATTCTGCCTGTGGAAACTTAAACCCTTCTAACTCTAACAATTGGAAATTAATCTGTGGGAAATCAGTGTTAAGAAATACCTTTCTAGAAACACTATGAATAAAATAATCCACAAACACATATCAGACACAGCTAAGAAAAAGGAGAATAAACCAAATGTTGTTGACAGTAGAGATTAACAGCTATTGAAAATTCAATTCAACAAATGATTAAGCTACCATCTACTAAGGTAGAGAAGACAGAATCCCTGCCTTCATTGAATTTAATGTACTACTATATATGAGAGGCAAATAACTACACTACAAAATAATACCATTACTTATGTAGGAGAATCAGAGAAGATTGCCTTGTAATTTCTGTGATATGCCACGTCCTGTCACCCCTCCATTCCTTCTTTCAAAGGTCTCCTGTTATCTACTGAATGAAGTATAAATTCCGGATGGTTATACATCCAAAGCCCTCTACATGACTGTCTACACTTACCCCATCACATGTTCTCTGCTCCACTCAAACTGGACCTATCTTTATCCACCATTCTTGACCTTTCCCTTTTCATCTCTGGGTCTTTGCCTTCACAGTCCATCCCGTCCCTCCCATCCCAATCTTTCTTTTTGCAGAGACTGCCTTCTTTCAGGGCTCTGCAGACTGCTCAATGAAACCTTTCCTAAGCACTTTCCCCACCAGTGTTTGAAGCTGATCTCCCTGATCTTCTAGCCCTTTGTCTGGACCTTTTCTTTTCCCTTCTTACTCTCCCTTGTATCCCAGTTATCTTGTGTACTTGTTCTCCCTCTCCTATCTAGCCTTGTTAGTTAATTTCCCACAGCAAATGTTCTGAATCTTTTCTTCTTTCCACTTGCCCCTCCCAAATCTATTCATGGCTCTGAAAGCAAGTTCAGGAAGGAGGCCTTTTTTTAAAGCTTCTTTTCTGGGGGTTTTAGAACAATGAGTTAGAAGGAAAGTCTTTCTTTTGAAGCAATTCTCTGCCTTCTGTGATCCTGTTGTTTGCATCGTCTCTTTCTGTGAGTCTTTTCCTATAGCTAGCGCCTACCCTGTCTTAGGCTAGAAGTCTGTGACCCAGCTAACTTAAATTAACTCTTCAAATTGAAACTTATTTTTTTAAAGGACCAGGGTGACATATTTGACACAATAGCGTGAGGTTACTCATATCATATTTGGGGGGGGGGGTGGTGAGGGCCTGTATCTCCTTTGATTTCTGTTTAGGAAGCAGCCCCAGAAGAAACTCCCTCTACCAGTGAAGTCCTTCAGCTGTTCAATAACTGAAAGTTTTAGAGAATTGCTGAAGGCATTGAAAAGTTAATTGGCTTGGTCATGCTAACAAAGCTTCCATGTCTCATAGGCAAGACTTGAACCCAGCTCAGTTGGAGCCTGGTCTTTAATTCTCTATGTTGTATTTTGTTGTTTGTTTTTGTTGTTTAGTCATTTCAGGTGTTTGACCCTTTGAGACCTCATTTGGAGTTTTTTTTTGGTGAAGATACTGGATTGGTTTGACATTTCCTTCTCCAGCTAATTTTATAGGTCAGAAAACTGACACAAATAGGGTTAAGTGACTTGCCCAGGGTCACGTGTAAATGTCAGTGAACAGATTTGAACTCAAGAAGATGTCTTCCTGACTTCAGGCAGGCCTGGCACTCCCTAGCTACCCCATGCTATGCTACCTCTACATATTACATATACCTAAAATTCTCTGTTTTATATCCTGCTCATCAATTGTCTTCCCAGCCCTCTTTAAGAAAATTATAAAATTTTATAAAATTTAATTTTTTTATTTTTATAAAATTTAAAGCTTACATGATAAAAAGGATAATTAATTTAAATATGTATCTTTTTCATTTCAATTACTAAAATATTAATTTTAGATATTCAGTAAATTATGTTCATGTAAAATATCTTCATACAACTTTTCACAAGTAAATCTTCCTAAGTAAAAACTCCATCAAGTATGTATGGGTGTTTACTATGTGTCAAACTCTATACTAGTGTTATAGGAGAAAGAAAAGAAATGTGAAAGGTTTTCTTGCTTTCTAGATGGGACTGAGGAGGAGGAAGTGAGAGAATATGAATCTAAAAATAAAATAAAACTGAATTTTAGAAAAATAAAAGAAATACAGGTCACCCAGCCTATCTTCAAGAAGTTCATAGTCTAGCCCTTGAAAGATGAGACCTAAAGTAGAATCTAGGTAAATATTATATAAATAAATAGGAATATCAAAAGATCTCTTACAGCTTGTCAGATCAGCAGATTGAACTCCCTCAGACAAAAGCATGAATAGTTTAGTGGAGAAATCCTAGGCAGTTGCCTAAGGCATATAGAGGCTAAATGACTTGCCCCAGGCGGTTGTGTTTGTCCTTCCTTCTCCAAGAGGACCATGACATCAGGGAGATGATGACATGACTTGCAATTGACTTTGATTTGAGTGAAGGAGGGCTGTGCAAGGTCACCAGCCTCACTTTCTCCTCCAGAGCCATATGAGCCCAGTTGCCTGATATCCATCTGGATGACTAGAGATGGCCCAGGATGCAATGGGAGACCCCCCAGCCCTTTTAAGCTAAGGTCTTTTCTGGTTCTGGTGGGGTAATGCCCATTCAGTGAATCGGCCTCTTTGGAAGTGAGTCAAGGGATGGCCCCTTTAATTAAAAAAAAAAAATCAAACTGGCTCAGGGGAGACCTTCAGGGTTGGTGGTTGAGATAAAAATATTAAACCCAGACCTTCTTGACTCTAAACCCAGCCACTAAGCCAAACCACTAGCCTGCACCAGAAAAAATAGCAGTGCCTACAACCTTCTAGACAGTAAGAGCAAAGTAAAAAATAAATACAAATGTATTTAAGCGTACCTAAATCGTATTCACTTTATTAATAAGTCTAACTTTTCTTAGATCCAGATCTACACACACATATATTTAGGTATTACATTGACATTCAACCCCCTCCTAACCATTAATTAATAGACTATGAGCTATTTGAGAATAGGGACTATTTTTTGCCTTTCCTTGACATATAGTAGGTGCTTAATAAATTCTAGTTGACTTTGTTTGACTTGCCCAAAACTGGATTAGGTAAAATGTCATTATAAATACATTTGGTTCTAAAAAAACAAATGGATAGTCAACTTAATATTGTTATAGTGGGAGTCTGTGACTACTCTGGGATTCAATCACATTGCATTAATGTTATTTTGAAACATCATTGTTCAGGGCAATCTTAACCTTAACCAAGGTATACCTGTATACTTCTGTGTGGGATGCCACTCAAATTAAAAAAAAACAAAACACAGAGGTGTCCAAGGAGAAACAGAAAGTTAATTTATTATTATTATTTCAAATCCCGAGATTTGGGTGTCCCTCCACCAGTATACTCTGACGAGGGGAGATAGAGTACAGGAGCTAAGAACCAAGTTAAATAGCCCCAGTGGGTAAAGTCCCCTCCCACCAACTGTCCATTATACAAAACTCTACCATAGAACAAAGGAAATAGTATACATCTCTATATTTCTTAGTTTGATGGGATAATGTCAAAGAAGCAATTAAGAAGGTGCAGTCAAGCTAGACATTAGCCAGGTCACTCTGACAGAAATATAGCTTACAACTAAGTGCAGGGAGGAGGTTTCAGACTTAGCAAACTTTAAGTACTAATGTGGCACTGGGAGAAAAGGGGACTTACAGAAATCTATACTTAGCCCTATCCTACCTCCTGAACTTATTACCAGATTTAGGATAGTCTTATCCCAAACTTTAGTTACACTGAGAAGTCTTCACTGGGACATCCCATTTACTTCTAAATCCTAAAGTGAGATCCAAGCATATTTATTTGGGGAGCATTTTTCAGTTTTATTCGCTCTGAATTTCATAATTTTTTCAGATTTAATTTTATTTGGAAAACAAAATAGTATTGTTTGGTTTTTTTGAGGTTTGTTTTGGTTTTGGTTTTGTTTTTTTGCATTTTGCTTACAGGCTTTACAATCAATGAATTCCAGTGACTGTGGTAAAAGCAAGTTTTGTTTCAGAAGTCCGGAAAATTGTGACCCTACAGACACAGATTGTCTGTTCATGTCTTCTGAATTGATAGATCGTCAGAGTTTCAGATTTGAAATGAGCAGCCTTTCTGATGGTTATGTTTCCATTGGGTTTTCCAGTGATACTTTAATGGTAAGTCACACGTCTTGCCTAGAAAGGAAGACGCTTTCAGACAAAAGGTAGGAATCTGAAACCGAGCTGGGTGGCAGATACTGTGCTTTGACAGTCCTTTGAAACATAAGTGGGATCAAGCAAGATAATAACTGACATTGATATAGCGCTTTGAAACTTATAAAATCCTTTATGTGCATAATAATTTCATTTAAGCCTCATAACTAGTGTATGAGGTGGATGGGTATTATCCCTAGTTTACAGATAAGGAAAATGAAACCCAGGGAAGTTACATGACGTGCTGTACAGTTAATAATAGTCAGAGGAGGCATTTGTAGCCAAGTCTTCATGATTCTAGGTCCAAAACTGTATCTACTGTGCATAGAAAGGTCTTTATTTCTAAAGTTGTTTTAATTCTGTACTTCGGGGAAAGGGAGTTAATGATTGGTTTTGAGCAGAGGCTCTTCACCTGAGGTCTACAGACTACCACCCCCCAAAGGGATCCATAGATAGATTTTTAAAATTCCATAAATTTGAATAGGGAAAAATAAAACTTTATTTCAATATATTTGTTTTCCTTTGTAATCATATATATTTTATTTTCTTCTTTTAAAAACAATCGTTCTGGGACAGCTAGGTGGTTCAGTGGATAGAGCACTGGCTCTGAAGTCAGGAGGACCTGAGTTCAAATCCGGCCTCAGACCAAACATTTGACAAGTACTAGCTGTGTGACCCTGGGCAAGTCACTTAACCCCAATTGCCTAAAAGAAAATTTAAAAAAAAAAACAATCTTTCTGAGAAGAGGTACATTTTTGTTGTTGTTCAGTCATTTTTCAGTAATGCCCAAATCTTTGTGACCCCATTTGGGGTTTTCTTAGCAAAGATGCTGGAATTGTTTGCCATTTCCTTCTTCATTTTACAAATGTAAAAACTGAAGGAAACAGGGTTAAGTGACTTACCCAGGGTCACATAGCTAGTGAGTGTTTGAAGCCAGATTTAAACTCAGGAAGATAAGTCTTCCTACTCCAGGTCTAGAACTCTATCCACTGTACCATGCAGCTGCCCCTGAAGAGGTCCATAGCCTTTACCAAAGAGGGCCATGACACAAAATAGGTTAAGAATTATTGGTTTAAAGGGTTTGTTCAATCTTGATTATTCATAGTTTATTATCTTTTTATACCTTAAGAGTCAATGTTCATATCTTTTGCTGCCCCTTTTGGGAAATGTTGAATACACACATGTGCATGTGTGTACGTGCACACAGTTGATTACAAAAATACTTTTTACTCATCAAAGACACAAGAGGGAAATGGGACAAGGGAGGTGGGGAATAAGAGGGTGTAAAGATTAAAGCAGGGGTAAATCCTAAGCGAAACAAACTACAGAGATGGAACTCTTTTGATGGCAAAGAACTGGAAACTGAAGGAATGCCAATAAGTTGGGGGAGGGCTGAATAAGTTATAGTGTATGGATGTAATAGAATACTATTGTGCTATAAGAAATTACGAAGGGGCTAGTTTCAGAGAAACCTGGAAAGACTTGTATGAACTGATGCAGAAAGAAAAGAGTAGAACCAAGAAAATAATTTATACAGTAACGACATTGTAAAGACCAACAATTTTGAAAGACTTAGGAACTCTGACCAGCAGAATTATAAACCATGATTCCAGAGAACTCATGATGAAACATACTACCAACCTCCTGATAGAGAGGTTCTTTTTCAGTGTAGCCAATGCAGAGATTTGTTTCTCTCAACTCTGCATGTTTATGATACAGTTTTTGCTTTTCTTTTTTTCTCAGTGGGGTAAGGAGGAGGGAAGGTTGGAAGGAGAGAAGGAAGGTTTTTTTCTGATTAAAAAAATTTTTTAAGTCTATGTAAAAAAATTATTTCTATTTTTAAAAGGAAAGAATGAGATATCTTTATGTAAGAATTTAATGCTGGGGACTTCAACTTTTTCCTTAAGGATTAAATACTTTTCATTTTCTTTATAATTTGGAGGAGGGGGAGGGTAACTTCAAGGTTAGAAAGAGATAGGTATGGTCTTTTTCCCATTGAAAAGCCAACCTAAAGAAAGTAGAGCCTTGAAGTGTCTTGAAGATCAATAATTTGATCATGACCAATTAATGTGAAAGCCATGTTTTAGTAGATATAATTTTCAAGTATGTTGCATAATGGATCAAGAACTGGCCTTAAAGCCAGGAAGATCTGTGTTGAAGTCCTACCTTTGATACACAATGGCTGAATGACCCTGGGCAAGTTACTTAAACTCTCACTACTCTAAGGCAGCTCTCTAAGTGTATTAGCTTTGGAGACTGTACAAACCTGCATTGGTAGAAGAAGTTTCCTCACCTGGGAATTCCATACATCACAGGTCAGTTCAGGCAACAAGCATTTCTCAAGTGCTTACTGTGTGCCAGGCACTGTGCTAAGCACTGGGGAATTCAAAGAAAGTCTTATAGCAGTCCAGTCTCTATTCCTATCCCTAACTATCATTCTATCAGTAGCTTCACAAAAATAGAGCAGAAAAATAAACTAAAGTAGGGTTCTAAGAGGAGAATCTAGGTCAGGGCATAGTCTGTATTTTCCTGATATAAAATTACCAGATTTTTGTTTGTTTGTTTATTTTATGGGATTCTTTTTTATTTTTTTCATATTTGTCATTTTGTGAAAGAAAACAAAGGAAGAAGGAAGGAAGGAAGGAAGGAAGCAAGGAAGGAAGGAAGGAAGCAAGAAGAAGGAAGGAAGGATAAAAGAAGGAAGGAAGGAAGGAAGGAAGGAAGGAAGGAAGGAAGGAAGGAAGGAAGGAAGGAAGGAAGGAAGGAAGGAAGGAAGGAAGGAAAAAGGAAGGAAGGAAGGAAGGAAGGAAGGAAGGAAGGAAGGAAGGAAGGAAGGAAGGAAGGAAGGAAAAATTAGTAAGCTTCAGTTAGTATGCAAATGACATCACTCTGGAAGTGGATACTATTTTTCATCATAGGTCCTCTGGGGATTGTCTTTGGATCACTGTATTGTTAAGTATAGCTAAGTCATTCATAGTTGATCATCTTACAATATTCCTGTTACTGTGTACAATGTTTTCCTGCTTCTGCTCACTTTACTTTGTATCAGTTCATATAGGACTTTCCATTTTTTTTCCCTAAAATTGTTTTGCTTTGTGTTCCTACATTTTGAAGACAATGCAGGGGTCACAGTAAACAACAAAGGCATGATGAAAGGTTCAGCCATCACAGGGCCTGTTGCCAAGGAGTGTGCTGACTTGTAGCCCAGGATTGCATCTAACGCCAGCAGCATTGCTTAATTCTCCTAAAGCCTATTTGTAAAAAAAAAAAAAAGCTTCATTAAAGTGTCTGCCTATAAAAAATAAATAAATAAATAAATGAAGAAGATTGTTTTGCTTGGCATTTCTTATAGCACAATAATATTCCATTACAATACGCACAATTTGTTCAGCCATTTCCCAATTGATAGGCATCCCCTCAAATTTCCAATTCTTAGCCACCACAAAAAGAGCTACTATAAATATTTTTGTTCAAATAGGCTCTTCTCCCCTCCCTCTTTTTTTAAATCTCTTTGGGATTCAGACCTAGTAGTGGTGTTGCAAGATCAAAGGGTATACACAGTTTGATAGCCCTTTGAGTGTAGTTTCAAATTGCTGTCCAAAATGGTTGGATCAGTTCATTACTTATGGGATTCCTTTTTAGAAGCAAATTTGATAGGTAGTTCTATGGATACATCATGTCATATCTAGTATCTTTCATTCATTTAGTATTTAGGTTTTATATTCTGTGCTAATCACAAAATTTCTTTGCATGCTGATGTCTCTATTCTAGGGGGATGATGATGTTTATATCTGCATGCTGAATGAGACTGGACAAGTAATAGTACAATATGCCTACGCGACTGGCCGAACACGTCCAGATATTAAACCTCTGGTAATGGTGTTACTGTATATTCCTTAACTCTTCTTATACTTCTTGTTAGGTTAAGGATGGCAGATAGATCACGGAGCTTTGCAGTGCCTGTGTTAAAAATATTACTTTGTTCCCTTGAAAAAAAAATGAAATGAAATAGTAATTCTTTTTATAAAGAAGAAAATTTAAAATGCTAGATACATCTTCTTTTAGTCATCAGTGTCTACCAAATCTATCTCAATCAAATTACTTTTGATTTGAATGATAAGAATGATTGCATGACGTTTATTTGGAGATCAAACAGAGATCACTATATAAAGAACTTTGCACAACTTAAAGCAACATATAAATGTTAAATATTAATAATAACATTTATATGGTACTTGAAATGTTATCTCATTTGATTCTTACAACAGCTCTTTGTTATTACTAATGCATAGCTATGAATATTTTCATGATGGTCATCATAGATTTAGAGCTAGAAGAGTCTTCAAAGATCGTTTAGTCCAACCTCCTTGATTTTCCAAATGAGCCAAGTAAGTCTTTGAGAAGTTCAGTGATTTGCCCAAGGTCAGAGGTGGAATTTGAACACTAGTCCTCTGACCACAAAAATAGTGCTGATGAATTTGTAGTTATCCAGGTCTGCTGTAATTAGAAGACCTGCATATATTTATGAAATACAGCAGAACAAAGATATACTGTCCAACAAAGAAATAATTGAGATAGCTCGCTTATATATATAGTGTTGGGAGATTCATAAAGCATTTTATCCTATGATATTGAAAGCAAATCTATCAAAATTCAACCTCATGAAATGGTCCTAAAATGGTGTTAATTAGCTGTAGACAAGGTGTACCTCACTTTAAAACTTTGCTTTTGAGCGGTTGCATGTAAACTGGTTTTTTGCTATTTGAAACCTATTTCAAGTGGAAAAAAACACTAAGGATCAAATGAGATAAGATTTCAAGTACTATATAAGTATTATTAATATTTAATATTAATATGTTACTTTAAGTTTTGCAAAGCACTTTATATAGTGATCTGTATTTGATCTCCAAATAAATATCATGCAATCATTCTTATCGTTCAAATCAAAAGTAACTGGAATAGGTTCTAGGCCTGGCTTTGACACCCTGGCTTTTTAGCCCTAACATCGTGGACAAATCATTTATGCTCTTTGGTCTTCCTTTTTCTCATCCATAAAATGAATACCTGCCCTGCCTATTTGATCCAATGAGACAATGTAGGGGAACTCAGTGTTTTGTAGACTAAAATACACACACACACACACACACACACACACACACACACACACACACACACACCATTATTGCTTGAGGTATTCCTATAATGCCAAAAAAAAATTGATTGTGCATTATAATGTTTTCACTGGACAGATAATAGGTGAAACTTGAAAAAAATAAAAATAAAGGTAAAACTTTAAAAAAAAATTAAATACAGTATTTCAGAGTTTTCTAATGGAAATAAAGCATCTAGCAATTACAGTAATCATCTGTCTGCCTTGTTATAGGGTGAAGTGAGGAATATAGAGACATCTTTCAACAATGGTGTCATCAAATGCAGTTTCATCACCAGCAATCCCATATCAATTGAACAAAGTGATTCTGATGACCTCTATTATGTTTTTCTGACTTTGGGGCCAGTTCAGAATGGTGAGTGACATTCATCCAGATTTACATAAGTTTCCATGCTACCAAGCTTCCCTTATAATGACAATGGTAAGATGGGGTGTTCCTATTATAGGTATGGGAAGAGAAAGGATCCTTTGTAAACCTTACAATGGCCCTTTTAAGTATTCTGCCCTCTATTCCTTTCCCATATTTTATTATTTTTTTTAATGAGGCAATTGGGGTTAAGTGACTTGCCCAGAGTCACACAGCTAGGAAGTATTGTGTGTCTGAGGCTGGATTTGAACTCAGGTCCTCCTGACTCCAGGGCCGGTGCTCTATCCACTGCGCCACCTAGCTGCCCCTATTATTTCTTATATTTATTTCTTTGATTGTCTTTTATGTTTTTAATGTGTTTTTAACATAGAAAGTTTTCATAAGTGATTTTACTAAAAAGCAAAACAAACTATGTTTTTCAGAGTTTTGGAAAGATCTCAAAGAGTCCAGAGGGTTGAAGGCTTTGGGGTTTTTTAGAATTATCAAAGATATTTCCTTTTTTAGTGGCATTATTCTCATCCATGTCATTTTCTGCTTTATAGACCTACTAGGTATAGACTTCAGTGATGAATGGGAGAAATACAAAAGGGGGAAAATTGTTTTTTCCCAATCTTCTCACTTCTCCCATCTTTTTGAGAAGCTGTAAGCACCTAATGTAAGAATCAGTAAATTCGTGCAATGATTGCCAGACTGTGTTCCATGGAGCCCAATAATTCTGCAGGGCTATCCAAGGGGCTCCATGAAGAAGTAAATAGTCTGGGGGCAGCTAGGTGGTGCAATGGATAGAACACCAGCCCGGGAGTCAGTAGGATTTGAGTTCAAATCTGACCTCAGACATATAACACTCACTAGCTGTCTGACTCTGGGCAAGTCACTTAACCCCAATCACCTCACCAAAAAAAAAAAATTAAAAAAAGAAACAAAGATTTGTAGTATTTGCTGATTTCCAACCTATAAATATACTAAGAAATTTAACAATTAAAACTGGGAAGAACTTGTCCCAGCACATTCCTGAATGGATCTCTTTGGTTGTCTAGTGAAGCCTGTGACCCCTTCTTAAAATAATATCATTAAGTACGTAAAATAAAATACACAAGATTACAACAAAAGAAATTAATTATATTGAAATGAAGACTAATTCTTTTCCCATTCATGTTTTTGGACTCCCAGAACTAAAATATCTTTAAGCCTCTTCCTTGCTCTGAAAACCTATGCTTCTAGTGTCATATACAAACTACAGCAAAGTTAGGGCTTTAGATAAAGCTATGTATATGTAATTCATGTAATTCCCCACAGTTCTCTGCATTAAGAAACAGAGTTAAATAGAACTCTGACTCCAAATCCAAAATAATATAACGCATACCAACCTTATAAGGCCTTAAAACCATCTTAACATCAATGAAATATCAGTGCTCTAGATTAGTAGACATTCCTGAACATAATGCTGCAACTGTCTTGGTGAAACTCATTCTCAATGTCACACTCTCTTAAAATATAAATCAAAGATTTTCATGATTGTCAGAGCTTTACACACATAAATGGATTCATTATTCTTCATACTAACCATCTCAATGTTAATATTTGCAGGAATTATACGGAAACATCCTGACATTCCTTTAACAACGTCTCGGAAAGTAAACATTTCTGAACCAACAGAAACAGCAGTTTCCTCCTCATCTACACCAGTTCTTATCAAAGTTCATGGTATGTATGCTTTTTTTATGGGTCTCTCCCTAACTGATGAATAGAGAAATAGAATTGCTTGAACTTTTCGTTACTAAACCCTTCTTAACTGGTTTAATTAAGTCAAAGCTTAAAAAAGAAGCTGAAGAGCATCTTAAAATTGACATATTTGGCCAGGAGAACAAAGGGAAAAGGGAATGAGAGAGATACCTTTAGGATTTAGGTGAGCAGTGGTATCTAGCTTTTCGAGTTTGGATTTTGTTCAGTGGTTTACTTTCATTCATGTTTATTAAGCTTCCATGCAGTGTGTGGCATAAATAGGAGATTTTTTTAATATAAATTTTTTAGTTTTTAGCATTCACTTCCATAAGCTTTTAAGTTTTAAATTTTCTCACCCTCCCTCCTCTTCTCCCTCCCCAAGATGGCATGCAATCTGATATAGGCGCTATATACACATTCCTATTAAACATATTTTCACATTAGTTATATTGTAAAGAAGAATTAAAACCAATAGGAGGAACCACCAGAAAGAAGAAACAAAACAAAACAGAGGGGGAAAAAAGGGCAAATAGTGTGCTTCCATCTGCATTCAAACTCCATAGTTCTTTCTCTGGATGTGGATAACATTTTCCATCATGAGACTTTTGGAGACCCTTAGATCCTTGCATTGCTGAGAAGAGCTAAGTCTATCAAAGTTAGTCATCGCACAAGGTGCCTGTTACTGTATACAATGTTTTCCTGGTTCTGCTCATTTCACTTAGCATCAGTCCATACACGTCTTTCCAGGTTTTTATGGTCTGCCTGCTCATCATTTCTTACAGCACAATAGTATTCTATTATATTCATATACTGCAACTTGTTTAGCCATTCCTCAATTGATAGGCATCTCCTCAATTTCCAATTCTTTAGAAATTGCCATAGAAAGAGCTGCTATAAATGTTTTTGTACATGCGGTTCCTTTTCCCATTTGTATCATCTCTTTGGGATACAGACCTAGTAGTGGTGTTGCTGGGTCAAAGGGTATGCACATTTTTATAGTCCTTTGGGCACAGTTCCAAATTACTCTCCAAAATGGTTGGATCAGTTCACAACTCTACCAACAATGTATTAATGTTCCAATTTTCCCACATCTTCTCCAATATTTATCATTTTCCTGTTTTGTCATGTTAGCCAATCTGATAGGTGTGATGTGGTACCTCAAAGGTTTTTTTTGATTTGTGTTTCTCTAATCAATAGTAATTTAGAGCATTTTTTCATATAACTATAGATAGCTTTAATTTTTTTACTTGAAAACTGCCTTTTCATATCCTTTGACCATTTATCAATTGGGGAATGAATAAATAGGAGATAGTTAAAAGAAAACTGGTAACGGATGAGAAGAGCAACCTTGGATTTATGAAAGCCTAGATTCAAGTCCTAGCTTTAACACATGCTGGCTATGCGACTCTGGGCTAGATAGTTAACCTCTCAATGCATATGTATCATTACCACCACTACCACCACCATCATCCCACTCCCCAAAAGCATTCTCTAAGACCATTATTTACAGAACACTTGCAGATTTGTATTTTTAGAAAAAGTTTCCTTACAGAGATCTTAAACCAATGATATCAAAAATTTAGTTAAAAAAAAAGAGAAGAATCTATGAGGTACGTTCTGTTAACATCTACATTAAATACTCAGAATAGAAAGATTTTTAACGCTGTGGAAGGACGTTGATGTGTCTATTTTAATGTCTACCTTGATAAGAGCTCTTTTCCAACCCTAACTTTATTTGTTTAGTAGCAAACATACATTTGTTCAGTAATAATAGTAGCATTTTAAGCTTTAAATAACATTTTAAGTTTGCAAAGCATTATGTATGTGAGAGAGTACACGTGTTTGTGTGCACATGTGTGTGTGCATGTAATGTGTGTGTGTTATCTCACTTGATCCTTGACATAACCCTGGAAGATAAGTGTTATTATTATCCCCTTTTACAGATAAGAAAACTAGGGGAGAGAGAAGTTGTACCTTGCCTGGCTAATAACCACCTAAGGCAAGATACATTTCTGATTCTAGGTCCAGCTCTATCCACCATACCTCCTAACTGCTTCTAGTAGAATAGAAAGTTGAAGTTGTGTATTGTTTTGCAGTGAAGAAAAGAGCAAATAATGGAAAGTTAAGTTTCAGGGAGATCCCTTTAGGATCTCTGTGTAAAAAGCTGCAATCAGTTCACACTCTCTTTATGGGCATGGGCCCTTTAAAAAATTGCTGTTCATCCAATAATATAGCACAGCTGTTAGATTACAAGGTTTTTTTCCTATTAAATGGTTAAATTAATCAACAAGCATTTATTAAGTGCCTACTGTGTGCCAAAAACCATGCTTGGTGCTGGAGATATGAAGGCAATAAATGAAACAATCCCTATTTGCAGGGAATTTACATTCTAATAGGTGATTATATTAAAGCATATTCCTTTATTACACAAAAATGGGGGAAGAGTGGCAAATCTCATGATCACAGGAATTGGAATTAAGCCATTAATGCCAATTTTTACTGTATTAATCAGTTCTCTTATATAATGTCATGGTTACCCCATCTTAGTGATGGTTGGAATGCCTGTGGACACCTAAAGAGAGAAGGACATGTGGTCCAATGGGGGAAAGGACTCTCCTGTTCTGTGGGCAGGAGGTGTCATTAGCATAAGCTGGGCTTTAAACACCGAATGTGCAGAAGGAGATTTAAATAACAACATAACACATAGCAGAGAACTAATCAGAACATAAGGCCTATTTAGATAAAAATGTTATTATTGTTTCCACCCTTTTAAAAATAGGCTGTATGATGCTTATCGCCTGGATGACTGTCGGAAGTATAGGCATGGTCTTTGCCCATTACTGGAAAGGTGTGATGGTAAAACAAGTTCTTGGCAAAGAGCTCTGGTTTCAGGTTTGTGATTGAATGTGAATATGTAGCATCTTTAAATGTGTCCAGCATTCTGTCATAATTTATCATAGTAATGAACCTATATCCCACTTTTACAACAGCACCTAAAGCTTTTTTATTTTCCCCCAATGTGGGTTTTTTCTGTAAATTATTATCTTGCCTTTATTACAGGTTGTTAACCTTTATATTATTCTGTTTATAAGATTAGCAGCCTCCATCTAGCTGTAAATACCATTATCCTAAAAATCCAAAGAGAGAAGTCAGATTAAGCAGCTTAAGTTACTGTATATCACAAACTAAGGCAAATCATGTATCCCTACTGGATTTGTTATTTTTTATATTTTTAGTTAATGGAAATTCTGTTTTGAAGTCATATGTCATATTCCCCCATTAGAATGTAAGCTCCTTAAGGGCAGACACTGTCTTTTTGCTTGTATTTCTCTCACCTGAGCTAAGCAGTGTCTAGCACACAATAAGTGATTAATTAATGTTACTGACTTACCTTGACTTGAAACAGACAGAAATATGATAGACTAATGAGAATCTATAGTCAATTAAGTCAACATTCATTTATTGGGCATTTACTATGTGTAGGTTGTGCTAAGCATTATAAATACAAAGAAAGGCAAAAACATAATGTCTGTCCTCAAAGAGCTCACCTTGTAACAGGGGAGAAAACATGTAAATAACTGTACATATAAGATAGGTTGTTGAGTCATTTTTCAGTGATGTCTGACTTCATGATTGCGTTTGGGAATCTTCTTGGAAGAGATACTGGAGTGATTTGTCATTTCCTTCTCCAGCTCATTTTACAGATAAAGAACTGAGGCAAAGAGGGTTAAGTGGCTTGCCCAAGGTCACACAGCTAATAAATGTCTGAGGCCAGATTTGAACACAGGAAGATAAGTCTTCCTGATTTCAGGCCCAGTGCTCTATCTACTGCCCACAAACAAGATACATGCAGTGTAAATGGAAAGTGGTCTCAAAGGGAAGGCCTTAGCAATGAGAGAGGAAGTTACCAGCCTCCTGAAAGAAATGAGATTTGAGTGGACTTGAGGCAAACCAAGAACTGAAAGTGAGGAGGGGGAGCATCCGTATGCACAGGTGAAATGCGGGACAGAGGGCTGGGCTCCGAAGCAAGGCTTGGCTTTAATTCTTACTAGCTGGACACTTCATGTAATCTCTCTGATCCCCAGTTTCCCCATTATAAAATGAAGGCAGCAGCTGCACTAACTGCTCCCACAGGGTTGTTTTAATATAACACTCAGTAAACCTTAAAAGCACTATAGAAATATGAGATTTTAAAATCTCAGTATGTGCTAAAGTACCTTTAGCTCTTTTAAAAACAGCTTTCTAAAACGGCTAATTGAATAACTGGTAGCTGTTGAGAGGCCACGTGGCACAGTGGATAGAGAACTGAAGCCAAGAAGGTTGGATTCAAGTCCCTCCTCACACATATACTGGCTACATATCAAGGATATGCCAGCAAATGTCTAACAAACGGCTCTCCAAAAAAAAAAAAGTATACATAGCACACTTTTAAGTTTAACCTGCTCTATTAACATTTTCTTTATCACTTTCTTAAGTCTAGACAATCAACAAAATAGTAAAGCAAGCCCTGATTTATTGCATTTGACAATTGCCAAGTTATGAATGCTCACACCAGTGGGAGCCTGTAAGCAAACCCCTAGATGTATCCCTGAAAAAGTCATAGTGCCCTAGGCAACTCTCTAAGACCACAGTTTGTAGAGAAAGTGCCAGTCTTCCTTAGTGGAGGGAGTTTCCTCACCTGGGAATTCCATATACCAAAGAAATTAGAATGTGAGCTCCCTGAAGGCAAGAGTCAAGTTTTGTTGTTGTTGTTGTTGTTGTTGTTGTTTATTTTGTCTTGTTTTGTCTTGTTGAACTTCCTTTGTAATTCTAGTATATAAATTATTGTTGATTGCCTGTAATCACAGATCTGGTCCCCATCCCTGTCCTAACCTAGTGGTTAAAGAAAGAAGACTTATTTTTAGGAGAAGAATGAATTTTCCCCCTGTAGTAGCATGCTATAATGAAAAGAATAGCTTGGAGGAAACGTAAGAACAAGAGAGAAATTTAAAATATAGAGAACATTCAGATTTCTGTTTGAACACTATGCTGTTTAGTTAGATAAAATATACACATCTACAAAGTATTCTATTAATGGGAAATCTGTTAACCAGCACTTCTACAAATTTATTGTTTAATGAAAATTAACATCCTTAATGAGGACCAACAGCAATCAGGTGCCAATTTATGCATATTATATTTTAGCATTAAATATATTTGTATTGTAGCATTTTAAAACTTTATTCATGTAACATTTTATTAATCAGATAACTTCATGTCGGATGAAAGTTTGCTTTAACTGTTATTATTATTATCAAAAGATGGAAAATTTTATGAGAGTATCTTTCAGCTATTGTTAGATACCTAGGTTTCTCCAGTTTAAAAAATGGGAGGATTCTCTTTGTCGTTGTTCTTGCTCAGCCATGAACAACTTCATGATTCTATTTGGTGTTTTCTTGGCAAAGATAGTGGAGTGGTTTGTCATTTCTGTCTCCAGCTCATTTTACAGATGAGGAAATTGAGGCAACAGGGTTTAAGTGACTTGCTAAGGGTCACACAGTATCTGAGTCCAGATTTGAACTCAGGTCTTCTTGACTCCAGGCCTGGCCTGGTGCTCTATCCACTGTGCCACCTAGCTGCCCAGGATTCTTTTCCCCAGAGATAAAACTGTCAATGGCCAGCTATCATAATTGCCTGCTTTTAGTTGAAACTGAAATGTCAATTAAATCTTCTGAAGCTAGATGCATTTTTTTTTTAGGTCCACAGATCTCTGATGACATTGACAGTGGTGTCTGTAATAATAGCTTTTATACTGCCCTTTGTACATGTCCAAGGATGGAGTGTAAGTTTATCTTCCATTTTATTGTTGTTGTTAAGTAGCTATAAATTTTGTAGTGTTGAGTTAAACTATAACTATCTTCTGATTATTTATACCTTGTTTTCATTAATAGCTGATGATTCATAAATGAACTTTGGTTTATGTTTAGAAGATTATAGAAAGAACACATGTCACTTGTGCTAAATGCCATCTAGTAGATCTCAGGACCAAAGTTTCTACTTTCATCTCCAGCTGTGGTTCTAAATTCCTTTAAGAAGTAGGTCCAGGTATCTACAATGAAACATAGGTGCAGATGTAGGTTGAAGCATACCAGTATTCCTTTCCAAGGTCAGTACTTCTCAACTTTTGGCATACCTAAATTTCTAAATTTGTCACAGTAAACCTAAAGGGGAAGTGAGAGGAAGATGAATGAATTGAAGGGGGCAGTAGATGTCCTGACCTACTGACCAAAATTGGTGAGAGACATATGATGGTAAGGTGTACCATATTTTTTCTTTGTTACAAGGCACTTGAAAGTGTGGTACTAAAGGAGAGCTAGAGATATTAACTTCGATTAGAGAAATGTTAATTAAGCATTTACTATGTGATAGCCCTCTTGCTCCTCTTCAGAGTAGTGGGGGAAGGGAAGGATGTTGGTGGTAGAAAATCGATTGGCTATAGTCCAGGAACATAGATGGACTCTTTGAAGAACAGGTCAATTCTCCCCCACTGGGACTATCTTTGCTGGGGTGGAGAATGAAAAGAGAGGGTACTCTCCTCAATGTGTCTTCAGGATTGGGAACTTTTGCTACACTTTGCCAAAACAGTAATGTGTAGTGATGTTGGCCCACAACTGATTAGGTTATAATTTTTTTCTACTGCAAGATGTCTTTAAGAACACCCAATATGACCAAAAAAGGGGAGGTTGCAATCTGGATTTGGTGTGGGTATTTCCTTCAATTAAATTATAAATCCTTAATGTATTAAAATACATACATACCTCAGTGAAACTGTGATCTCCACAATGGGGTATTGCTTCCAATGGTACAAATCACACAACTCATCAATGCCTTCCCATACACGGGCTTTTTATCCATGCATACTCCACATAAATACTCCATAATACTCCACAGGGGATCCACCCATTGTGTTGGGTAGGGAGACCTTCCTCATGTTTTCCTGATATCATAGTTACTCCTTGCTTTTACTAAATATACCAATCCCTTCTTTTTTCATCAGATATTTCTCAAACATCATTCACATGACTTCTGAGCATTTTCTTATTATTCAGTGTATTGTAGCCCACTTGTGCCCATTCATGGGTACCTCTCCTTTGCCCTTTAGGCAGTCTTTTACTCTAACTCTTCAGAGATTCTTGTATGACTTGTAGCTCCACATGGTAACACCAGAAAAATATCAGTGGTGTTGGTGGTGGTGGTGGTGGTGGTGGTGTGGGTGTGTGTGTGTGTGTGTGTGTGTGTGTGTGTGTTTAAAGAATGGAAAAGAAAGGTCTTGTGGAGAAACTTGGTGATATCAAAAGACCTGTACAACTCCTCAAAGGCAATCCAACCCATTCTTCTCCCATTCATTCTGCACCCAGATCTGTTTTTGTTCCTGATGCTGAAAACATGAGAAATTGAAATGATAGAATCCTAACATCTTAGAAGTTACCTAGTCCAATCCATACCTGACCTAGAATCTCCTCTACCAAATTCCTAGCTAATGCTCACCCAGTCTCTAGATCTACAATGGTAGACTCTCTACTTACTAAAACAACCCATTCCACTTTTTGATGGAAGAGTTCAAAGTTGGAAGAAATCATTCTGATTCATTGGATTATCTTACTAGGTTATGAGTAACCCTGAATAAGGTGAAATGTAACATGAGTAAATTAAAAAGTTCTCTATTTCGGTTTAGAATTATTAACTTCATAAGAATTGGATCTTAGAGATGCTACTAGACCACAATTTGTCTGAAAAGATACGAAGGTTTTAGGGGTAGGCAGGTTCAATATGAAACAATAGTATATGTCACAGGCAGCCCAAATAAATGCTATCTTAGATGGAATTGAGGAATGCAATGTTCATAAAAAGAAAGGTGATGGTTCCGTTGTATTCTGCCTCGGCCAGATCATCTCTAGAGCTTTGTGCTCAGCTTGGGGCACTACAGTTTAGAAAAGATTGAGCATGCCCAGAAGAGAGAAGTCAGGCTAGTGAGAAGAGATTAAAAAAAATAATAATAAGGTAATTTAATTCACTACTAACCAATAGCCTAGTTCTAGATACCCTTGAAATCCATGAGTTTGTCAGTTGAGCACCTTTGAAGAAGAGTTTGGCTTGCAGAGATGGGAGGTGAGAGACATGCTGGCTGCCTTCAAGGATGCGAAGGGCTGTCATGTGAAAGAAAGAGTTCACCTGCCTTTTCTTGTTCCCAGGAGGGCAGAACTAAGCTCAGGCAATGGAAAGGCATAGAATGTACTCGGTGGGGAGAGACTGCTTAACTGTTTTAGTCTTTGTATCTCCACCGCCTACTGTTATGTTATTGACAGATTTTTAATAAGCGGTGGTGGTGGGCGTTGCAGAGAGGCTGATGTGGGCTTAACGTAAGAAAATGTTTTCTAACAATGTGAGCTATCCACAATTGGAATTGGCTGCTTCATGAGAGGTAGAGGGTTCTTTCCACTGGAAGTCTTTAGGAAGAGACTAGATGACCACTTTGGAAATGTATTACAGAGAGGTTGTGTTTTTTTTTCATTCTGGGATGGATTCTGAAATCCCTTGCAACTATAGGATTCTGTGATTCCTTTGAATTTTAGGAATTCAGTAACCATCCTAATCACTTATCTCTTGTCTATTCTGTTGCTCTGCCTCATGATGTTCAGATGTCTACTTTTGCTTCACTGGCCATTTTACGAAAAAGAACAATTTTACATGACCACAAGTTACATGACCACAAGTGAAATTTCTTCAGGTAATAAAATTGAAGCACATGATGCTGCTCCCTTTGAATAGGGATAGCGACTAGACTTTGTGATTCTACTGGTCGAACTCCCTCTACCAATGCAGGTCAATACCTTCTGTACTACTCAGAATCTTAGAGAGTTGTCTAGTATATTGACGGGACAAGTGATTTGTCAAGAGTTAGACAGGACTCAAACAGTAGAACCAATAAATGAGATCATCCTCAAATTTCATTCTTTTCTTACCAAAGCATGTATGTTAAGAAAAAATATTTTGCATTAAAAGTCTCGTATTACCACTACTTAGAATCTACTTTTGTAATTTCAGTGCAGGGAAATGGACTACTTTAGCATTTGGACAAAATTATATGTTTATATAGACAATAACAGATGCAAATTCTAAGTGGTAGCTGCCAATTCCTTCCTCTGTATATGAATGGGCAAAGTCAAATTAAAGCATTAAGAAAGTGACAACTCCTCTTAAAAATGGATTTTTTAAAAAAAAATCAAAATAGGTAATTTATTTCCTCTGCAGGGCAATTGGTCGCATCCTATTTTGGGTTGTATTGTAATGGTACTGGCTTTCCTTCAACCAGTGATTGCTCTCTTTCGACCTCCACCTCAACATAAAAGGTAAATACCCTTTAAAATGGGGGATTTCAAAATAAGAGTTATTCAATTCAGTACTAACCAATGGCCTAGATACCCTTGAAATTCACTAATGTTAATTATAAGGCTGAGAGTTAGGACTTCAGGGAATAATGTAAGTGAAAAGTACAAAAAACAGTAGACATAGAATGACTGAGTACAGTGGAGTACAGTGGGCAATTTTGGAATCACATGAATTGCTTTTAGAATTTTGCATGACTTCATATAATCATAAAATATAAAAGTTAGAAAGTACTGCAGGCACCTAGACTAACCCAGACCTAACAGATTTTTAACAAGTGGTGTGATGGATATTGCAAATAGGCTGATGTGGGCTTAACATAAGAAAATGTTTTCTAACAATTTGAGCTATCCACAATTGGAATTGGCTGCCTCATGAGAGGTAGAGAGTTCTTTCCACTGGAAAGTTTTTGTCAAGCCTTTCCTTGGCTCCAATGAAAGGAGAAACACTAGGTAGCCTATTCTACCTTTAGTTATATCCAATTATTAGAATTTTTTTTCTAGATTGAGCCTAAATCTGCCTCTTTGACTTCCACATATAGTTCTGCTCTCTGTAGTCAAGCCAAATCATTCCATGTGATGGTCCTTCAAATACTCAAAATGGCTTATTCAGTTTTACCTTTGGAAAGTTTTCTCTTTCCCATACTATACATCTTATTTCCTTCAGCTAATCTTCATTTGGATTAGATTCTAGTACTTTTCTCTATTGTGGTCACCTTCCTCTAGATACATTTTAGTTTGTCAATATCCTTCCTAAAATATGGTTTCCAATCCAGATGTGGCCTAATCAAGGCACAGTAGAATATGCCCAACAGGACTTCTCTTATTTCAGACACAATTACTATTTTCTAAGGTCCCATCTCTTCACCTATGAATCTACTAATGCAGCCCAAGCTTACAGTAGCTTTTCTGACTAACAACTTTTATCTGTGTAATTTTTTTAACTTACGTATAAAAAGTTATTAAATTTATTCTTACCCAGTTTCACATCTTAGATTAAGCTCATTGTTCTAGTCTATAGAGATTTTTGGATTCTGATTTTGTCATCCAACATCAATCAACCAATAACATTTATTAAATGCCTATTATGTTCCAGGAACTGTACTAAGGCAAAGATAGTCCCTTCCCTCGAGGAGTTTACAATCTACTAGGGAAGACAACATGCAAATGAATACATTTAAAACAAACTATATACAAGATAAATAGGAAATGATTAACAGAGGAAAGGCACTGGGGTTAAGAAGGGTTGGGAAAGGCTTCCTATAGAAGAAACTCCTCTGATTGAAGTTATAAGAATAAAGATTTCCAAATTTTGGAAATTGGAACCAATAAAAAACAAAGCCCAGATTTAGTTCTCCATCTTTTTTGTTTCCAATAAAAATAGCCATAGATAATTTCACTGACTTACTTGTCTATCTAGCATCAAAGTAAAATTCAGACATTTTTAATAAAAATGCTATTAAAAGTAAAATGAACCTTGTATTATTTTTATTGTTTCTGTAGGAGAATTATCTTTAATTGGTTCCATGCTCTAAATGGTTTTGTATTAAGGATTTTATCAGGTAACTACTTCAACTTCTTTGTATGTGTAAATCTTTTTTGAATTCCTGGATATTCTGAAACTATTAACCTGAAATGATTTTTGATGTTTAGCTATTAAATTAACATGTCATTATATAAGTTTTCATTTGAGTGTCATTGGAAAAGTTTCAATTTCCAAGTTACACACACATTTTATTATAAAGCATGGTATAAATTTCTTTTTCCTCCACAAATAGACAATGAATTCCTTATGATCTTTTTGTTAGCTAGCACAAGAGGAAAACATTAGATGTACCTGAAGAGCTTTTGCGTTGCTAGTGGCTTGATACTTTACAAGTTACCTCTTCAACAAGCATTGGACCAGTTAAGAAAGCAAAGTTTCCCAAAGAATGAGCTACTTTTGACCTCCAAAAGAAAAAGTGTGATCTGTTTTAGAGCCAGAGTCAATTTTAAAAGTACTTTGTTTAACATGAGAAGACTGTAAACAATGAAGAAAAAATGAATATTTGAATAGTAAGACAATCAGACGAGGCAAAGAATTTTAATTTCAAATTCATAGAGCTTAGAAAATTCTTTGTTGATTATCTTTTTTTGATATAACAGTTGTCACCCCAAAGTGAGGGGTCAGGTTGTTCCTATTTACTTGTATGCCATCTTAGAAAGTAGAAGTATGAAGAATACTCTTGCCTTTTTTACTCAAGGGATGGAGAAGGCAGCAAAGATTCAGAATTGTTTATTTCTATATAGATTTCTTCACAGCTGATAAATTAACTTGTATTTAGTCATCTCAAATAATTCATATCAGTAGATATTTATTGAGCATTTATTAAATGTCAGATTCTGTGCAAGGTAGTTTACCACAGAGAAAGACAATAATGACTAACATTTATGTAATAGATAGCATTTATATAGTACTTTAAGGCTTGCAAAGCACTTTACAAATATGATTTCATTTTATCCTCACAACAACCCTGGGAGATAGGTGCTAATACTATTACCCATTTTACAGAAGAGGAAATTGAGACAGAGAGGTTAATTGTATTGCCCTGGATCATACAGCTACCAAATGTCTGAAGACAGATTTGTATTCAGGTCTTCCCGTTTCCAAGTCTAACTCTATGTACTGTATCACTTAGCTTCCCTATGTTCATTTCAACAATGAATAAATCAAAAAGTAATTTAACACATATAGTGGTTTTCATTTTCAATATTTTGTAACTAGACTGCAAAAAAAAAAAAAAAGCCTAACCCTGCCTGAATAATTTTGTGTGAAGTCAGAAAAGACCATGGCCAATATTTCCCTTTCTTTTTAGTTGCCACTATATTTCTAGGATTGAAGAATATTGATGCATCTCCTAATGGATGGATGGAAGAAGTGATGGGGGGATTAGTTGGCTGGGAAATATTAAGAGATGTGCTGCTCTATGTAAATATTTATTTTTGGAGGAAAGGTAAGGATCAGCTTAAACTACTTGGGAGGCAACAAAATTCACTTGCTTAGAAAAATTATTCATCTCTATTTTCATTAATTTTAATTTTCATTAATTTAATTTTCAGATGGTGATGAAACCCCAAAAGGAAAGGTAAAATCTTTGCTTTGAAGCAACACTGATTTTTCTTAAACAAGCTTCTCTGGGGTTATCCAGTCCAACTTTAAAATATCTGGTCAATAAATATATCCCAGCTCCAGTAATTTGAAATTCATATCATTTAGATAAGGCTAGAGTTTATTGTTTGGTTGCAGGTGTAATGGAGAATTGAAGGAAGAAAAGAGGCCACTAAGAAATTATATTATAAATAAGAAAACAAACTGGTTTAAAGAAACAATTTGCAGTATCAATCAATAAGCATTTATAAAGCCCCTACTATGTGACAGACACTATGTTAAAGTGCAGGTACAAAGGCAAAAGCCAAATAGTCCCTGCCTTCAAAGAGCTTCCATTCTAACTGGGACAGACATGTACGTGCACAGGGATAAAGAGAACAGAAAACCAAACAACCGTGGAGGTGAGGGGAAAGCACTAGTAGTTGGTGGTGGTTGTAGGAAGGGTACCAGGAAAGGCATCAGGAAGGACAAAAATGTCCAACACACAGCCCAAAACACTCCCAAGTGCAGCCAGAATCAAATGTAATTTGGGGGAAATGTAATGGGTGAATACTTAACAAAATAAATTAAAATATAAGATAGTTTTTACATTTTAAAACTAAGACATTATGTGGCCCACAAGGATCCTTATGTACAGAATAGTGCCCCCATTTCTATTTCAGTGTGACACCAGTGTTATAGAAGATTGAGGTCAGGCTAAGTCTTGCAGGAAACCAAGAACTGTAAGGGAGCAACTAGGTTGCATAGTAGATTGAGCAGTGGGCCTGGAGTCAGAAAGACCTGAGTTCAAATATTGCCTCTGACACTCACTAGTGTGACTCTGGGTAAGTCACTTAACTGTTTGCCTCAGTTTTCTCATCTATAAAATAAGCTAAAGGAGGAAATGGCAAACTACTCCAGTATCTTTGCCAAAGAAACCCCAAAAGGGGTTGTGAAGAGTTGAATACCGCTGAAGACAACTGAACAACAGTAAGAATTCTTAGAGAGGGAGTGTTTTTTTTTAAGTGTAGGAAACAGTGCACAAGAGGAACAGCAAAGTAGTCCCATTAGCCAGACTGTAGAGTGTGTGGAGAGGTAATATAATCCAGTCTTCACCTGAACAAGGATCCCTTCCACAACATATGTGCCAAATGGTACCGTCCAATCCTTTCTCAAAGTGTTCCAAAGAGAGAGGAGCCACTAGCTCCAATTAAGTCCAGTCTACATTGGTATGTCTCTAATTATTAGCAAGGTTGTCTTTAGAGAGGCTTACTCTGCTTCTTTGTCTTCTATCTATTGCTTCTAGTTGTGTCCCACCAAAGAAAAAGATTAATCCTTCTTATATACGGCAGTTCTTCCCAACTTTGAAAAAGTTAGCGAGGGGCAATTTACACTCCCAAAATCACAGAATTCATAAAGCTTAGACCTCAAAAGGAGGTCATCAAATCCAACTACCTCTTTTTCTTTTCTTTTTAAATACATATTTTATTGATGCTCTTAATTTGAATTCCATTACTTCCCCATTCCTTATATACTTTGTATATACTTCTTTACTTGTCTCACCCATTACATTGTGAATTCCTTGAGGGCAGGAACTACCTTTCTGCCTTTTTTTGTATCCTTAGTGCTTAGCGCAGTGCCTGGCACATAGTAGGTGCTTAATAAATGTTTGCTGACTGATTTCCTCATTTCAAAAAAACAAAAGGGACAGTTCAGCAAAACATAGGCCATATCTAAAAATATCTCATTTTGTACCTGCCTCTAATAAGAGATATGGGAATCCCATTTCACCATCAACCCTCTGAAATCATGACTGGACAGTCATTACATGGCCAAGCCATTCATTTTACAGATATGGAAAGTGAGCCCCTGGGAGACTGTGACTTGCATAAGTCATGAGTAGACACCTCCAATTCTGCTGTGGAAATGGGAGGATTTGGGTGGGGATGATCCTAAGTATGTTGGGGAGAGGGCGGTATACATGTCTATATACACATGCTTGGTCCAAGTGCCATCCCCCTCCACCCCTCATCCTCTGTGGTGCCTGCAGAGTGTTAGGGTTAAACACTGAAACATCTCGTAACATGGCCCTAATAAAAAACCAATTAGCCAATTTATGTTTCTTATCCTTATAAAATACTCCACTTCCCTTAACTAAGTTAAGTTGTCTAGGGGTAAATTTCAGATCTGAACTGGGATCCTCTGAATTTAAATCTTTTTTCGTATGGAACACGTTCATATTCTATAAATTTTAGTCATTAGTAGCTATTTTAGGTGTCTGGGTTTCTTTTCATCATATGACTAAAAAATGGCAGATCTGGGTTCAAATTGTGCCTCTGACATTTAAGTCTCAGGTGAATGAAATAGGTTGAAATCTATAGAGGAAGTTCTCATGCTGAGGTAACTATGCTCATTGACTATTCTATTATTTGCATATCATTGAAAAAGAAGTACATTTGTTTTATTCAAAGTCTTAAAACTTTGACTCTAAAACTAAAATTGTCCAATCTTTCTCCATTTAGTTAAGTGGCTGTCAGAGTGGGCCTATACCTGTATGTTGCAAAAATGTTCTGATGTCTTTTATCAGATGTCTATTTTAGTAGAATTTCTAAAGGCTTTTCATAGCATCATAGGATTTAGAGCTAGAAGAAACCTTAGAAATAATATTTCATCTTGGAAACAGATTTGCAAAAGGAATGTTTAACTGATTTTTTTCTTGCCTTCTCAGATAAAAAATGAAAACATACTGGTAATACTTTACCTGTGTGGAAACCTCATATTTGTAATAACCCTGCTTGTTGGAATTGGACAATCCTAGAGAAAGTACCTTCACCAATTTTTTATTAAATGAAGATTCTGAAAATCATTGTCATGTTGACTACTTTTTCTACCTAATAAAAACTAGGAAAATAAACACAGTTTGAACAAATTTTTTAAGTCTTTCAAGTTTTGTTTTGTTTCATTTTGTCTTCACAATATTGTTGTTATTATATAAGTTTTCTCCTGGTTCTCCTGCCATTTCTTTTTACTGAATTTTCTCCTTGCCATTTTTATTATAGTTGTCTTTCTGAAAATTTAAAGCCATCCTGTTCCCTCCAGTATTCTTTCGGACTGGGTGTTTGTAATTTCTAATGGTTATTTCTATGTATAATTGGACCTTCATTTTTATGATTCAATCAGTCATCAAGCATTTATTAAGTACAGAGCATGGTGCTGAATGCTGGAGATACAAAGATAAAAGGTAAATAGCTCCTATCCTTGAGGGGTTTGCCTTCTTTCAGGGGAAACAACGTGTACATATGGTGGTAGATACAAAAGAAAAGGTAAGAGAAGGGCACAGTAGCAGCTATGGGACAATACAAAAGGCCTCATGTAAGAGAAGGTACTTGAATTTGGAACTATGTCCCCAGAATTATTAAACTGCTTACCTATTTCTTCCACAATATGATTACTTGGTCTATACACCAAAGAGGTCAAAGAAAGGGGAAAAGGAACCCTGTGGACACAAATAGTTGTAGCCACTCATTTTGTGTTGGCAAAGAACTAAAAACTAAGGGGTATGTACCCATCAATTGGGGAATAGGTGAACAAAATATGGTGTTGGATCATATGTGATGGAATATTGTTGGGGCTATGCAAATGATGAAGAGGATAGTTTCCAAGAAACCTAGGAAGATTTGTATGAACTGATGAAGAGTGAAGCAAATAGAACCAAGAGAACAATTGGTACAATAGCAACAATATTCTAAAGACAAACAATTTTGAAAGACTTAGAAACTCTGTTCAAGGCAATGACCAACCATGATTCGACAAGACTAATAATAAAGGATGCTACCTACCTCTTGACTCAGAAAACAGATTGAAACACATATATTTGTGTACATACATATGTGTGTGAACACACACATGTAGATATGCATATATGTGTGTGCATATATGTGTATATATATATATATGTGCATTGTATGTGTATTTGACACAATTTATGTGGAATTTATTTTGCTTGACTATAGATGTTTGTAACAGGAGTTTGGGGCTTTGGGTTTTTTTTTTTTCCTTAATGGGAGGAGAGAGAAGGGGGATTTTCACTGAGTGAAAAAAATAATAAAATTTAGTTTAAAAATTTAGAGACAAACAAGGAAATGTTTGAGCTGACTCTTGAAAGAGACTAAGGATTCTAAGAGGCAGAGGGAAGGAAACAGTACATTTCAGGCATGGGAGTAGGGGTAGTCAGTGCTAAAGCAAGGAGACTAGGGATAAGAGAGCTACATGTGAGGAATAGTAATTAGTCCATTTTGGCTAGGACCATAGAGGTTTTGGAGGAGAGTAATACATGATAAGGCTGAAAAAAGATAGAATGGAATCAAGTTGTGAAGAGCTTTAGATACCAAATAGAGTTGTTTGTTTAAATCCTGAGAGTAATAGGGGTCACTGGAGTTTGATAAGACCTAGAAAAATTGCTTTGGGTATTAAGTGGAAAATGGATTTGAATGAGGACAGACTTCAGGAAAGGAGATAAAATCAGATACCACAATATTCCAGGGTGGAGGGAGATAGAACAAGATTTGACAAAAGACTGGAGATGTGGGTTGAGAATAAGCGGTAGGGGATGACAAAGAGCGTACAAAGCTGGGAGACTAAAAAGACAGTGTCCTCAACAAAAATAAAAAAAGTACAAAGGAGAGCTGGGTTTGGGGAAAACATGAGTTTGATTTTGGACGTGTCAAATTTGAAATGCCTGTCAGACAGAGGTTTTCACAAAGTGGCAGATTTTATGTAGTCCTGGTAGTCTACATTTCTTTTACCAGGAAACTGTGTGGTATGGTGGAAAATGGCTTGAATTTGAAAGTCAGAGGACTTGAGTTCAAATCCCCACCCTGCCCTTTACTTTCTATGTGACCTGGGGTAAGTAACTCCACAGCTCTGTCCCTTAGTTTCTTAATTTGTAAAATGAGTGGGTTAGACTAGATTGTGCCTCGGAGGCTCTTTCTAGCTTTAAATCCATCACCTTACTCCAATGCCTCATTTTGGTGGGAAGACAACTCTAGTTTCTTGAAGGCTGTGCCATTAGAGACAAGCTCAGGCAGATCCTACCAAGCTGGAAAAGTTTGGAGTGTGGTCCTGGTAATGAATTCTGTGTGTATGATCCAAGGATCAGCTTCACTAAGTTTGGAGAACTGTGACTGAGTGAGTGACTTCCTCTTTGCTGGCCAAAATGACAGGTTTTTTAATTACAGCAACTCCCTAAAATCATCTGCTAAATTATAATGGGATTACAGTCAAAGTTAGTGAAGGGAGTACACACACTGATTAAGTTATAGATCCTTAAATACAGTTTTATGGAAGGATGGGTGGGGATAAGCATGCATAGCATAATGCAGCCCTGATGAATGTTCATTTGCAATTAGCAAAATCTATCTCATCATGAAAACCTGCTGTAATTTAGATCATCCAGTTCTTCCTTTTTGACCATATGCGTGGAGCTATGACTTCTATAATTGTTTCACCTAAAATCAAGTTTTCATAGAGCCAGCTTCCCACTAAGTGGCTATCAATTCCACTTGGTTAAGGACAGCAAATCTTCCAAAATTCCAGTTGGCTGCAATGCTTGGAAATTATTTATGAAAGATGAATAGGATTTGGATAGATGGAATATATATATATATATATATATATATACACATATAAATATGTACATATAGACAAATGTGAAAATACATGTGCATTTATATATACATATATAGAGAGAAAATAATTTATTACAATAACAACACAGTAAAGACAAACTACTGTGAAAGCTATGAGAACTATGATCAATATAGTAACCACCCTTAATTCCAGAGGACCAGTGATACACCATGCTAGCACCTCCTGACAGAGAGGTAATGGATTTAGGGTACAGAATGACACATACACACACACATCATAGTACTTACAACTTTCAAAGTTGTTTGTATTTTTTTTATTATTATATAAATTGTACTTTTGGTTCTACTCATTTCTTTTTTATCAGCTTATAAAATTTCTCAGAATTGTTCGTTTTTATAATGTGGATGGTATGGAAAAAAATGTTTTTTTCCTGGCTTGGCTTACCACACTCTGCTTCAGTTTATAAGTCCTTGGGTCTCTCTTTGACATCACGTATTTCCTCATTTCTTTTTCCTATAGAGACATTAATTAATTAGCTAGCCAGGCCCACTAGGGGAAAAGAGTCCCATTGATCTTCAGTGAAAGTAACATATTAAAAAAAAACACACTTTATTGCTGTATTAAAAAAAATTACTTTTATTTCTGGATATAAAACTTTCACCCTGAAATTGAACCTTGACAAAGAAAAACTATTAAGCAAAAACAACCTAAACAGTAACCCCCTCCAATGATATGCAACATTCTGCTCTTGTAGTACTCCATCTCTACTGACTGGAACGTGAAAGGAGAAATGTTTCATTATCTGTGTCTCAGGACCATTATTAGGGTTTCAATTACTCAGAGTCCAGTGTCCTCTTAGTGATCTTTTCCTTTACGTTAGTATAGACACTGTATCTATTGTTCTTCTGTCTCTGCATAAATTCATATAAATCTTCCCAGGGACAATGGCATAAATCAAATCATTTCCTGCTATTTTTTGCTCCAGTGCGAAATTGAATTGAAACACTAAGTAAAATGTTCAATAAGGGGTGTGTAACATTTTTGGTGCAATACCATCTGGGTAGAGTTCATAAAAATCTGGAGCACCATTATTTCTTTTGGCTTTACCTGACCCTTTAAAAAATAGACAAGAACTTGGAAGCAAGCCAGTGGGCTACCACCCTTAAAGTCAAGTGTGCTTTGAATATCATCCTGAGCTCCATGTCCTGAATAGCAAACAAAGTTTTATTTCTGGAAACTATGCAAGATGGTAACTTATAGGACTGGCCTGATGCAAGTAACTGTCTGGGGTGAACAGGAGAAGACAATGGACATGGAGTTAAAAAAGACTATGTTCAAATTCTGTCTCCAATACCAGCCACACAGCCCTAGGCAATTGACTTAATTTCTCTGAGTCTCAGTTTCCTCTTCTGTAAAATGGGAATAATAATATCTACTTCACAGGCTTGTTATAAAGTTTAAATGAGATAACACATATAAAGTGCTTTGCAAACCATGAAGCACTATATTAATGCATGCTATATTGTTATAGTTGAGAACAGTCTGATAATTATCCCTCACCTAAAGCAATATCTCCCCCACTTGCCTTCCACGCCTAAATGCTCACCATTGTCTTTGGGTATAGATATTGCAATGTGATACTATGCAAGCCATTTCAGAGAAACACATTAGACTTGTTGTGTCATTGACTTCATCTGAGTCTTTCCAATCAACAGCTGCTGGTTGAAAGTAGGTTGTGAGTAGTTCTAGAGCATGGAGCATTCCTCAGAGACAACAGGTGCAGGCCCCTGAGGGCAGAGAATGAAATTTTGCTGAGAAGGTGGGGAAGAGTAGGTACAGAGGAGCCAAATTTTGCCCTTTGCCTGTTTTTCATTTTTCCTTCAAGCCAACTCTTTCCACTCTACCAGTTGCTTCTCTTAAAAGTCTTTATGGGCACATGCCACCTATTTGCTAATGAGTACGGCAAAGTGGGGCAGAACATCAGGACCCTCACTCAGCCCGTGCTGCCTAAATCTTGGTCAGAGAAGCAAGAATCATCCTGATGCAGTCACTTCAAAGCCAGGGTTGTTTACCTCAAGATAGATCTCATAGGATAGGATGGCAGAAAAGAGACTGGCTACCTCCTCCCCCCCACTCCCAGTGAGGGTGTCACTGGGTCCTTCTATGACCTATCAGGGGATGATTGTCATTTTATCACCTGGCCTCCATGCTGTCTTCCATGAGCACATTTCCTGACCACATAAACTCATGCCAATCCTCTTATC